TGTGTGTGTGTGTGTGTGTGTGTGTGTGTGTGTGTGCGTGTGTGTGTGTGTGTGTGTGTGTGTGTGTGTGTGTGTGTGTGTGTGCATGTTGGCTAGAGTAAGCTCATGTGTATGTTGGTGTACTGTATGTAGTTGCTGGTGTCTTTCTGCTGTGGCCCTGTTGTAAGAGATGTAATTACAGGCCCAAACACTCATTCGTGTCTTAAACTGCAGACGTAGATTCATTACAGAGCTTGTTTACAGTGAATGACTGATTTTATGATTTATTTTGCTTCAGACAAAAACATGTTTGTTTTCATGTATTTCATTACCGTCCATTGTGTTGTTACATCTCTGATATGACATAACAGATAAAAATAAATAAATATATTGGCCTGTTGAGCCGCCTACACTAGACATCTGCACCAGAGTAAACTAGAGATTTGAGAAACTAGATGTGAATAATCTCGCTGCTGTAAATACTGAAATGTAAATGTTTTGACTGAGATTACACAATAATTCCTTGAATCAAACAGATCTAAATGACTGTTTTAGAGAAAAGCTCTGCATTGGATCAGGAAAAAGATCTGAAGTGTAATTAAATAGAGACTAACACAGCATACACTTTGGTGGTAAGAATAAACATTGAGTTCCTGCAGCTTTACTGTTTTGGTTCACTCTCATCTTCCTCTTTTTCGACCATAGTAAGCAGTTTTCTTCAGCTAACTAGCTTTAACAACTAACTACCTGCACAGCACCAAACAGCAGAAAAGACAATTGAGAGTATCCTAACATACTGACATACAGTCTGGTTGCACCGCTGCAGACAGTAAGGACCTGCAGTGGATATTTAAAACGGCCTCTAACGTCATGAGAGATCCCTCACTGTCCGACACCCTCTGTTTACTCGGGCTGTCCTCGACCAAAGACATTCTTCGTCAACTAATGCTCTTACCATTTTGTCTACTGATCAATTAGTTGATTTAATTTCTCCACTAAGAATCACACAAAAGCAACACTTTAAATAATGTGTTTACTACTGTCCAATTCTGCTCTTAAGTCCTTAAGCATGAAAAAAGCAAAATACAAAATAGACAAAGAAAGGGGCAGCCCTCCTGTTTATCCCCCTCCCCTCAGGCAGGCTCAGAACTATACGCACATGGACCAACAGGCTGAGAAACAATTTTTTCCCCCAGAGCCGCGGAAAGGCTACTGAACAATTGCTCATGCAATCCTGTCAATGTTCTTTTTTAATATAATTTGATGTGCCTTCTATGTAAAGTATGTAAAATATTTTATTTGTTCTGTATATATTTATGTTCTAAATTGATTTATTCTGCAAAGTGGAGTGGATTCCTACAAAACCAAATTCTCTTTAATGCGTGTTTAACGCGCAATTACAATACAGCATCTTATCTCATCTACTCCTAAAAACAAAGTAGCTGTTGAACACAGTGGAGCATTTAGTAGCTAAAGAGATAGATATTTCCCTCAGGAGTTGGTCGAGACCAAAACATGGCTAAACGCTGTAACATCAACAGAACTGCCTGCCAATGCACAGGGGCATTCGTTTTGAAAAGGTGGCGCCCTTCATCCAGCTGGTAACAGCCCTTTCTTGTCCTGTGATGAAAGTAGCCAACTCAGAAGTCCTTCATGAGCTAGTGAGCTTTCCAAAGCTCTAAAATACAGTATATTGTATACTAATGAATAATTAATTATGTGTGAAAGGAAAATGAGACACAGAATCAAACAGAGATTTAAAAAAGTGAATTTGAATTACCACAAGAAGTACCTTGAATGCTGTAACATAATCTACAGACTGCCTTGTTGCCTCTAATGCTGCTTTAAGACAAAAAAAAAAACATGACTTCACAGTCTATAAATTCTATTGCAGATTAAAATGCTGCAGATGCTGAATTTCTCCACACGCCGATAGCTGTCACTGGCCAACATCAGCCCTCATATATTCCGAGCAGTATTTTTGGCTCAGTGTAACTCAATACGTCGTCAAGCCCATCAGCTGTCCGTACGTATTACATAACTGGCTGTATCTGTGTGTTTTCCTCTCTTAGCAACCAGCAGGGTTGATTTTTCCAAAGAGCAGCAGCACAGTCGCAGTCGATCAAGTGAGCTTATAGCCGCTCCACATAATGTAAAATTAGGTTTTCTTTGTGTGAAGGAGGGATAGAGATAGAGAGGACATTGTGAGGACAATGGAGGAGAGTATAAAATACATGATTGAGGTATATTGCCACACAGACAGGCTGGGAGAATTATTTCATTTCAGGAAGTTGTTTTTTGCATTTTAGGTGAAAATATGAGTGGGGAAAAACATGTTCTTTTCATTCTCAGGCCCCCCTCTCCACGGTGATGCCCCACCGACTTCTCCTCCGGTCCTTGACGACAAACCCAAAGATGACTCCCCCACCTCCCCTTCTCCTCCCGAAGATGGACCCACCTCCACGTCTCCCAGCGTCCCCCCACCCGACCCGACCGACGGCAGCCCAAATCCCCCGGCCCCCCCAGGGCCGAGTCTCAGCCCTACCTCACCTCCTGTCCTCCCCACATCCACCCCCACCGACTCACAGCCTGAGCCAGAACCTGTCACCCCGCACGTTAGAAAAGATGTCCCCCCTCCTCCGCCTCCTCCTCGGCCCCCTGCCCCTCCCCGACCACCCAAGCTGCCGGACCACCAGGCCCCCGATATCTGTGATGGGGACTTTGATACGGTGACCATGTTGAGGGGGGAAATGTTTGTTTTCAAGGTGAGAAGTAAAGAATTATCGATCATGTTTGTGTGTGTTTAATTCAAGGGTTTGCTTTGGATTGGACAGTTATAAACTTTCCCTCATGTTGTGGATCAAGGAGCATGTCACTGGTGTTGTTAGCACCCCTGACCTACTTGAAAGAATTTGGAGAAATCTATGAACTAGCATAACCCTGCTCAGAGTCAAAACCACATTCCAGTCATGCAAGCAGAAGTAAACAATAAATCATTCTGATGAGATTATTTTTGCTTGTGTACAGGGTCGCTGGTTCTGGCGCGTGCGGAGGAACCGGGTCTTGGATAACTACCCGATGCCGATATCTGTCTTCTGGAACGGTCTGCCGAGTGACATCGACGCCGCCTATGAGCGCCACGATGGCAAATTCGTCTTCTTTAAAGGTATGCCAAAGCTGTTAAATACCAACAAAACCTGTCACTTTGCAAACCCAGCATCCACATGTTACGTCAAAAACTTCTTAGAAGACCATGCTGAGTTTTTTAATGGCTCAGCACCTTGGTTAAGGGAAGCGCGTACAACTTGTTAGTTTCCGCAATGTTTTCAGCCACTTTACCCCGACGCAAAGCTGAAGCCAACTTGGAGTTTTGTTTTCTATAAACATGAAATGGGGAGTGAGACACAAGTCTGTGCTTTCATTTGAACCAGGCAGACTGAAAGGAAAGAGTGCAAACTCAGCATTTTTTTCCCTCCGCACAATGTGACTTACAAGGATATGTTAATAATTCAGCACTGCTATAACTCTCGGTATCTGGCAGAAAAACACACAGAAATATAACTCTAACTAAGTTATGTGATGAAGAAAATTGTGTTTTTCTGGTGAAACATTTGGGCAATATGACTGCAGATGGAGACTATTGAGTGTGTGTGTCTTTGCACGTGTGCACAACTGCATCAAAGAGTTCACATCTGTATTTTAGTGTTTGTATCTGCCTTGAATGAGGCCTGTGCAGCGTGGCGGCTGTTGCAGGCCCAGTATGAGTCTCTCACTCCAGCTGAGCCCCAAAAGGCCTCATGAGAGAGGTGGAGGATTGCATCAGCCTTCCCAGCACACTGCTCCAGATGTCCACAGCCGCACAGCTTTCACTTTTACAATCAGGCCGTACGGTGATCTGTCATGCTCTTCAGGATTTTCTGGGCTTTTGATCACAGATTCTTTTTTATTCCCTGTTAGAAGGATTTATGGGTTGAGTTTTCCTTTAACTAAATCGAGGGTTGACGCTCATTAACATCCATAGATGATTCTTGTAAGTGTTGATTTCTGATGTTGTCATTATTCCTTCTTTTTTTTGTCATGTTCTTCAGAGGTTGAAGGAAAGCTGCACAAGCTGATTTTGAGACATTGTTGCTTCTTCTCCAAAGAATTTTGGATCATGTATCAAAACCCTGCAGAAATTTTGCCCATATAAGTCCAACTGTAGTAAACACAACCTCTGATCAAAATGATAAAACAGGTGTGCAGTGTGCACCAATTAATTTCATGAGCAAAATAAGTATTATGCCAACTATTTCTACCTTGCCTGTCCTTACTGCTCCTCTTCTGGAGTGAGTAAACCCCCAGTAGTTCTGGCCATTGCTTTCGCTCCATTGCTTTTTCCTCTCTTTCCTCTCTAGTAGCCAGGTAACGAACATTGCAACTCTATCCTTTTGCCCCTGCAGATGATAGATACTGGGTGTTCAGGGAGGCTGATGTGCTGCCGGGATACCCGCAGCCCTTACATGAGTACGGACAAGGAGTTCCTGCACACAAGATTGACACAGCAATCTGGTGGGAGCCCAACGGATACACATACTTCTTCAGTGGAGACAGGTACACTATATCACAGACACACACAGATGCATGCAACATGATTTGAACACATTTAAAGATAACATGAGGAATTAAGACAATGATTAGAAGAAGACTTTTTGTCACCTTCCCCGCTAGAACTTTGTATTACTCTGAAAAGGGCTTTGAATCTCTATTTGTCTTAATACACCTTACTGTCTGGGTGCAGATACTGGCGATACAGCGAGGAGACCCGCACTACAGACCGTGACTTCCCCAAGCCAATCAACAGATGGGGCAGGATCCCTCCATCACCCAAGGGAGCCTTCCTCAGCGATGACGGCGGTAAATAAGGACTTTCAACTAAGCAAATACAGCCTTTATTTGGAGGAAAGAAACAGCTTCTGTTTACGAGAATCACATCAGACACCAAACACTGTAGATACAGTGTTGACAGCAGGGGAATAACATGAGTGAGGGAGGGAGAAAAAGAGGGAAAGGTTAGAGGGGTGAAATTTGGGGTGTAAGAGACGGAGAGGGAAAAAATTACATTTTGGGCTGCAGCAAGCAGAGCAGAAAGAAGGGTGAGGGGATGAAGGGAGGAATGAGAGGTTTGGGGGTTGGCCCGTCCTTCCTTTGGAAATTAGATTTGTGGCAGAGCTGCTCTAAATGCACTCTGTAACAGTCAGATCTCATCTCCACCCAGAATGTCTCTGCCAAATGTACCCTAAGAAGACCAAGAGGAGTGTTTGTACTTATTTTTGCATCCCATTGTCAAATCTTAATGCATGTCATTGGTTTATGCTTTGTGTAGTTTCCTATTACTACATGTTAGGTATAGTCTGGTATTATACTTAACTGGTCCCTAACGAAACATACCCTTGTCTGCTTTTTGTTCACACAAAAATGTTACTTAGGTTTACCCAGTCAAGACAAATGGTAAAGTAATGAGACAATATGTGATGTGTTTAGGCATTCAGCCTAACACTACTTCTCCAAAAGCTCTGAAGGGACAGTTTGACATCTCGGTAAATACACATTTTTGCTTTCTTGCCGAAAGTTAGATGAGAAGATTGATATCACTCTCATGTCTGTACAAGCTACAGGCAGGAGATGCCTAGCTTAGCATAAAAACTGGAAACAAGGGGAAAGCCTGTCTCTGTCTAAAGGTGTCATCTAAATCTCATGTTTTTGTGTCATTTCAAAAGCCCCACCTGTAGACCTCCCCCTGTTTGGAAGTCATTACTGTCACTCAGTGACAAGTTCAGAGCCGAGACACCAAATATCAACACTGTACATATTCTACAGTATATTTTCATCATAATCCATTGTGCATTAGTTGAATAAGTTCATTCTCTTTTATTTTCCTCTCATGCAGCTTACACCTACTTCTACAAAGGCGCCAATTATTGGAGGTTTGACAACCGCAAGACAGAAGCAGAGAAAGGTTACCCTCGCTCCATCCTGAAGGATTTCATGGGCTGTATGGGAGCCTCCGACCCTAAGCCCGATACAGACGCCGAGCAGGAACCAAAATACAAACCAGTCGACCCTTCAGACCGAGGCAAAGACGAGCACAAAGAGCCAGACGGGGGCCGAGACAAAGACAAGAACCCGGATGAAGACACGTCTTCTCAGCCTGACGGCACAGAGGAGGAGGACAAAGAGGTGAACGTGGTCGTGACGGTGGCCGACAATGAATCAAAGGTCATGACTCTGATCATGGTGATTGTTCCTCTGGTCCTGGTCCTGTGCATCCTCGTCCTAATCTACACCATCCTCAGGACTCTACAGAACAAAGAGACCCCGAGGGCTTTGGTGCACTGCAAACGTTCATTGCAGGACTGGGTGTGAGGCACAGAATGAGAAGCGATAGAGCGGGTATTCATCATTTTGTACAGTCGTTACAGGCGTCAAAATTTGTACTTATGGGTCTGACGCAGTACTTAAGTCTAAGAAAGCAGAGGATGAGTCACCGTTTTGGGCCCCATTCATTGTGAGAACTTTTATCGCTCATGTGAAATAATGCATACGTGGTAAAATAGGTGCCTGTGGAGCTGCAGTGTAAGTTTCCTTCTAATGGCTCTTGAAGTTTTTCTCCTTTGTGCCTTCCAAATGTTTAAAAAGGGTACTTCTATTTCTTTAAAAAAAAATCACGTTTGTTCCATCATAGTTTAAAAAAAAAAAAAAGATGTGTCAGCCACCAGATGTGTACTGTAGAAAACACATGACACACTAGGAAGGTCCGTTTCTATTAATTGTAATTGTACAGAGGAGGGACCAGTGGTTTATTTGTAGTATAAATGCAGATCAAGTCAATAATGCACATAAATTACACAGAAGCACACATACACATACACACAACATGAGTGCTTAAGGCTATAAAATTAGCTATACAAATACATGCATTAATACGAACACGTCTTCCATATGCTTGACTACGATGCCTCAACCAATCTAGACATTTATCTTAGTTTAGAACAGATAATTTGCACTTTTGATTCTGTTTTTTGTCGTCTTTGTTTTGCTGAGGTTGCTTCACTGCAAATACGTACGTGTGTGTTTTTTTTATTAAACCCACTGATACTAGCAGAAGAAGCACGTCCTCCGACCAGAGCAGGAATGTCAGACAGCTGTGTGCGTCCATGACCGCCCGTCTCCCACTGAGCCCATTATGTCTGCCCTCTCTCTCACACACACACACACACACACACATACACACGCGCACGCACCAACAGCACATGATCTCCAAAAAAACTCTAACTGCACTCATTTGTGCATGCATGTCCACATATGCAGACACACACGCACACGCACACACTGAGACATAGAGACCACTTACCCAAACAAAGGCACATAGTTTTTGCACACAGACACAAGGGCTCCAGCCTCCCCTCCTCCCACCACGGCCTTGATAACTGTTCTGACTACACCACTAAAACACAATCCCAGTGGAGACGCATTGATATATACGCCTAGTGCCAGGGCTTGGATAAAATACAGCAAGGGGGGATTTATTCACACTTAACGAGAAGATTTGAAAAGTGCTGTGGTACTTTACAAATGATATCCATCTCAGCTCGACCTGTTGAGTAAAATCATAGCAGCAGTATCCGTCTTTCTGTATGTCCTCTTCTGTTGTTCATGCTAAAGCTAAATAGCGTCGAAGCAAATTAAGTGAGCATGGGAGAAGCCTGCAGGCTAGAGAGGAAGGGACCAGGGTCTGGTTTCCATTAAGCCCACATGCCGCTGATTTATTAGTGGCACGAGGAGAGGAGAGAGAGGGGAGTTGGGGAAAATGCAAAAAGAAGGAGGTATAAAATATAATGGTGGGGAGAAAGGGGAAATGAGAGAGAATGAGATGACGAGGGAAAGAAATAAACTGGGGGAGGCACAGATTGAGAAGGTGGAGAGGGAGGGCTCTGCCAAAATGTCCTTTGCCAGTTTTCTCTGAAAAAGGAGGAGCAAGGGAAAGAGGGAGGAAGGATCTCTGGGAGGAACAGCGCTGGCGTTGCACCTCCTGACCTAGATTGGGACACTAAGTCCATGCCTCCTTTTCAAGTCTTCTTGTTTTTGCTTGGTTTGTTGTCATGAGTTGTTCCTCTGCGGCCCCCTCCTCCCTTCCTTATCTATCCTTCTCTCCAATTTTTCTTTTGTTTTTTCATTTTGAGTCCGTCTTTTTGTCTCATTGCTGTATACCATACCACACTAATGCTCTCCCAGATGTATTCATTTTCTTCTCCACTCTCCCTCAAGCATTTATACTTAATGTACAGAAACATCTGCAGAAAGTATTCATTGAGTTTCCCTTTATCTATCTGTCTGTCTATACCTTGCTTGTGTCGGTGTAAATCCACTATTGACATGCTAATCATTACCTTTTACTTGTGTCTTTACATTGTGCCTATATTTTCTTTTTGCCAGTATTGTGCCTTTTTTCTGTGAATAATGGGGCGGCATTTTCTTTTTTTTTTTTTACTATAAATAGCACGAGGGAACATTTTTAAAAATGTGTTTCTTTCCTTTTTTAATTCTTATTACTTGTAGTTTTGTAAATTTTGTTTTTGTTCAGGTTTTCTGTAAGAACATTATTAGATTATCACGACATTGATGCATGCAGGGCATGTTCTGTAAGGCCTGTGCACTCCTGTGTAGAGTACGTTAAAGTTTTCACAATAAAACTTGCAGGTAAAAGCAACACAAGTCTTCTTTGCTGCAGTTTTTGGCTTCATGTTATTGCAACTGCACACCTATCATCAGCTGTGCAAACGTCATGTTCAAGGAGTTATTTCTACTTTTGGCCACAAGAGGGGAGGGTTGCTTCTAAAATGTTAAAAACAAAATCTTAATAATGTTCATCTCTTTCAGCACAATATACACACACAATGATGATAAACTAAAGTTAAAGCTCATACAAAAAACATGTCTGTGTACACAGATGCAGTGCTGGAATGCACACTCACTGAAGCACTGCACATAGGTACAATTTAACATAGGTTAATTGTACTTGTTAAGCGATTTCCATTAAATGATACTTAATAATCCATTTCAATCGTTTTTAAAAACAGTTCATATATTTAATAGAGAAATAGTAAAGAATCCGACTATATCCCACCAATAAACATATGTAATGTATGTAAGAGTGTGTGTGTGTGTGTGTGTGTGTGTGTGTGTGTGTGTGTGTGAGAGCACCTTCCTGAATGTCTTTATGTCAGAGGTAATCAGGATTAGCTTCCATCACAGTTCATCCACTACAGCTTTACCTCTGCATCTGCTTTCTCTTTCGTCTATTCTTTCTGTTTTTCTTTCTTGATGGCAATTCTCTCTCCTGACACCATTGCAGTTCATTGTTTGTTTTAATCTCCTCTACAATAAATGAAATAGTGCAAACAACTTTGGTTTCCTGAGAAGTTCAGTTTCCACACATTTACCTTAACTCTCTTTCTTTCCCATGAGTCTCTGCTCAAACTGCCCCTGTCCCGTAGCAATAACGTCCTGTGTCTTATCCAGATTTCCAATTAGGATTGAGGCCGCTATGGTGGTGCCCATAGGAGCTGCCATATTCCAGTCATGGGCCAAGGGTCTGTGTCATCGACCTGCTCTCCCAGCTTAACCCTTGCTGAGCTGATAATGGGATCTTTACCTGTCTGTCTGTCAAACGTGTGTCCACATGTATTATGACTGATGCTTACACAGGTTGTTTGTTTGGAACCCCGTAAACCTTTCCTTCAAAGCAGCTATTCTTTCACTGTTACAGTTCTACCTTTGACTTCAAATGTGTCAAATCCTGTTACCAGACAGTCAGTTAATGAGGGCAGTCCTGGATCCTAAATATTATCAAGCATCATGCCATTCATCCCCATCCTCTCCATCTTTATCTTGATTTCTAATCCTTATTTCTTCCCCTCATCCCCAATACTGTTTGTCTCCCTAATGCAGCCTGTAAGCACGTTCACTGTCAAACAGTCGTGAAAGAGGTATTTAGACTGAAATATCTCTTATTGGATTAATGGGATTTGAATATAATTGAAATTTTGTAGCCTACAGACGTTCATGTTCCCCTGAGTTATAATAACTTTGTTGATTTGTTGATTGCCAGTGCACTCCTTTTAAAACCCCTATTTGACCTCAGTTGGCCCCTCTCTCCTCCCTGAGACACACATTTGGTTTTTGTTGGACATTATGGTTTGTTTCTACACTTAATGACTCCACATGCCACTGTTAGCTTAATCTTCCCTCTTATGTTGCCTTCAAATTAATAAATAATTTGTGATTTGCTTGGTTTTGTGCCTCTCACTCTTTTGTCTTGGCGCTGCAGCCAGGTTTGCGACGTTAGCGTGTTAGTGTTAGCATTTAGCTCAAAGCACTGCTATACAGCCTGACGGAGCAGCTAGCATGGATGTATATCTAAACTTTCTTTTCTGAATCTTAATCTGAGAAGTAATTATAGCTGTCAAATAAGTGTAGTTCCATTTAAAAAAGAATTCCCTTGGTATTGTAGTGGAGACTGAAATAACATTACTCAGGTAAACTACCTCAAAAGTGTACGCACAGTACGATAGTAAGGTTAATTGGACTTAGTGACTTTTCACCTGCTGTTAAGTCTGACGCCATATTGGAGACACGGTTGGCTACATTTTCAAAAATAGAAGAAAAGCTGTGTGTAGTCTTGTCTGATAGGGCGGTGGTCTCCATAGGGCTGTAGGGACAAGAGAGGAAATAAAGCATCAGACAGCCCTGGTCAGACTCTGAGCCTTTCTAATAAGCTTTACCTTCCTCTGTCTCCTCCGGACTGCTATTTAGTCAAAAGGTTTATGTAGCTCATTGCTGCTCAGTCGGCAAGTGGCCCTGCGTCAGTTGCTGGGGATAAAAGTATAATTGGGATGGGATGGGAGATGACATGGTGGAGGAGGGGACTCTGGCTGCCACATGTTCTGTACCAAGTGCTCTGTGCATATAGTAAAACACATTATCTCCTTTTTGAGACAGTATACATCCCAAACAGTTCTTTTCTTTAGTAGATAAACTGAATGTAACGTGTTGATTACAAACTACAAATCATGATCCAGATGAAAACACACGGGTCGTGGTCTGTAACTGGATGAAAAGGGTTCACTTTCTATCTCGAATCCCTGGACTCTGTGCTTATGTTAGTCAGCACTTGTTGCTTGTGGCTGTTATTCAGTTGTGGGGGGGGGGGTAGACAACAGTTTATAGGTTACAGGGATGGTCCTGACGATACGTTTCTCTGCTGTTAATCTGCGATGGCTCACAGTCGAGGATTGTGCCTTGACCTTCAGGTTGTGCTGGGTAATCCCGTTAGCCCCAGGCAGCTACTGTCGAAATCCCAGCAGACCTGTGCTGGCTGTGCCGCACTCTGGATCTCTACGCCACCGGCATGCAGAACCACCTGTAGACACGCAGGTAAGACAAGCAAGTCTTTCTCATTCTATACAGGGAACAGATGGATTACTTGGGTGGTGAAATCAATACCTGACTGCTGATTTGACTTGCTTGCTGTGATGACCCGTGTCTTGGTGAAGTTGCTGTGATGACCCGTGTCTTGGTGAAGTTGCTGTGATGACCCGTGTCTTGGTGAAGTTGCTGAGTGTTTATATCATCATAAATGTTGATGTGATTAGATGTTGTCTTACAGCTTCTCATTTGCTTTTGTCAAAGTCTGTACTGCCAAGCTCTATCTGAGGACAGAGAGGCTTAAATGCACAAATCTATCCTAAATTAAAGACACAATCCGTGGGCAAGGAATGATATCCATGGGGTGTCTTCCACTGATTTATGCTCTTTTGATGACCGAGAATGATCCAGTGTAAAGAGGGCATATGTCAGGAGTTGATCCAGGCCTTAAACAGCAAAGAAGGCTGTAGATTAGTTGGGGGACAGAGCTGCAGTATTTAATCCAATGCAACAAATTTGGGATTATGCCAGAGAAGAGGCCCCGCTGTTCTTTGCTGATTGGGACAGTGTGTCACACACTGTGATCACAACAACATCTCAAACTTTCTTTGTAAAAATGCTGTGAAACTTCTCCCCAGGCCATCACTTTTATTCCCTCTATGGTGGAGCTGTACTGTGTCTAGAGTGCACATTTAGCTGCAACAGACACGTAAAAATCTAGTTTAGATCCAAGAATAAAGCGATGGATTATTGCAGAGAAGTCACTGTGATGTATAGTGGAGTGACAGAAGCACATATTTTTATTTAGGTCTTCTTGGCCTCCTTTTGGTTGTTCGTCTTATTGGCTCATGACATACATTGGATCTATGATGTAGACCTTACTTGTTGCCCTGGGGAATTAGCTGGTGATGCTATGTGAAACGTTTTTTCTCCGACAGCCATCCTGGTTGCCCTCGACCTGTCTGCTGTGGTCAGTTAGCAGGAAATCTTGCAGGTTCAGTGGTTCTTTGCTGAAGTGGATTATCTCAACAGGTTGATAAACTGTCACAGTGGATACTACGCACATTTGAGATTAAGTCAGACAAGTGGCAGTCATGCTGGCTCTATAAATTATTTTTATTCAAACCTTATCTTGAATCAGTCCCCTGGGCCAGTGGACATTTCTTTTCCCTGTACGTTTGTGACCCTCTGTCACCTGTGGATGCTGTTGGTAAATTAGCTTATGTTGCACTTCTGCCTGAGTTCACCTCTGCCCCTCTACCTTTGGGTCTTCTCTGAGTTAATTTGCTGGTTGAAAAGGAAAGTGTACATTGCACATTGCAAACTAATTTATAATTCAGTCATATAAAAGCCCAAATTTCAAAGGATTCTCTAATACATAATCCAGGCACCATATAGGCACATACCATTGTACACGTTTGTAAATGTGCCTGATGAGAAACTAAAGACAGCTTTTATAATAATAATAATAATAATATTTGTATAGCGCTTTAAAAGGTACTCAAAGACGCTTTACATGGTAAAAACAGGAACAATAGAAGTAATTGTAATATGAACAAAATAGATGACATAACAGTAAGGAACAGCACAAAAAAAACTTTATGATTAAAGGAATATTCACAACCATAGAGAGAGAAATTTCCGGTTGGCAAAAATGTTGCCTGAGATAAAAGCAGAGATGAAGCAGGTAAAACATCCTTCACTAGACCACATTAGCTCCAGTTAAGGGTTTCTGTGGTTGACAGATTAAGTGGCTGCTTTCATGAAGACATTAGGACAGAGTTATTATGAATTTATCAGCATTATCGTCAGCATTATCAACGATGTTTGATGAAGGGCTTTTGAGAGGCTGACTATGTGTGTGTGTGTGTGTGTGTGTGTGTGTGTGTGTGTGTGTGTGTGTTCAACAGGATGTTTAACTGGGTGGTGAAAGTGGTCCCCCAACTCCCTGAAGCTCCTGGAACAGATGACGCTGCCAAGACCCCCGTTGTTTATTCCACAGGGAAGCGTCCTCCACAGAAAAACACAGACGAGAATTCAGAGGACAGGTAAACGTTTCTTTCCAATATTTCTCTGTATGCTCTAATGAGTGTGTCTGTGTGTGTGTGTGTTTGTGTGTGTGTGTAAACATGCCGACTTCCTGTCTTTCTTTACCTCCTCTACAGCCAGGCCCAGACTGGAGTTTTAGGCTGGCTGTCTAATGGGTTCGTCAGCGCCTTGCCTCAACCTTCTGGTTCCCCTCGACTCAGCAGGTCCAACTCTGACACCAGGGTGAGTGTGTAGGTGTTTGAGTGGACATGTAGCCTATTCAGGTGGACATTAGGGCTTCTCCTTATTATCCTATGAGAAGACATGTATGTAGGCTTGTGACACTGATAAACTGATTGAGCCAAAATGGCCAATAGTCATGTTCTCCCTAAACACAGCTACTTCAAAGTGAAGTTGACACATCACAAAGGTGATCACATTTTGATAAAACTTTAAAGAATTCAGACAACACTACACTTTACGACATTCAAAATACAGCACAGGCATGTTCCAAACAAAAGTGTGCTGGGTCAAAACGCCATGTGAATGTCACAAATTCTCTTGAAAAGCCATTTCATCAAAGGAACTATTACGGGAGAAGTTACAGAATTACTATAATTGTGGATAATGGATACAAAAACAAAACAGGAGGAAGGGAGATTTGCAGTAAACTCTCTTTGGCCTGTACGTTTTTCTCATTCTCTATTTCTTTCTTTGCCATCCCACAGTCAGCAGAGGATGGAGAAAGGTACAGTGTGCTTCGATAAGCAGTGCACATTTGTTACTAAATACATTCTTCAAAAGTTATTTGCATTGGTTTATTCTTCCAGGTCTGGAGTGATGGGCTGGGTCACTCAGGGTCTGACCCAGTTGTTGCCTCAGCCTGATGACAAGTACAAAGAGATTGAAAACCCTGAAGAACACACCGAGGTGAGACACGAGGACTTCATTATGACTCAGAGCACAACACCAAATCAATATCTTAACTACATTAGCACTGCCATGAAATCAATGCCCCAAAAGAAAATGAAGCATTTAAATAATCCTAGAACATCCAAACATTGAGGAGCATCTACTGTAATAAGCTACAGGTAGTAGACTAGTACACAACGTTTCTCTCCAGAAACCAAGACTCGTGTTTTATGTCATAAAGTTAGTTCAAGTTCAAGTAATTCATCGAGGCAACAACAAGAAAATCTACGTCTTGGACCTGTGTGACACTTGACTCTGACAACTTAATACTGTCCCGGAGGCTTATAAGGCTAATCATGTGTAAGGTTTAAGTTTATACAGGAATCTGCAGGGGGTTTAGCCAGGTTAAACTCCTCCATTAACTTCTCTGCATTTAAACCAGCCTCTTCATTCGACAATCCTCTTACCGGGATCCTCGGGACTCTGCAGGCAACACATGATCCAGTCATTTCATGTCATGTTGCCAAAAGTTAAATATTGAAATATTTCTATTAAGGATTAATCCAGGAGAAAGTCACAGAATTTAGCTGCATAAAGGGCCCTGCTTGGCCCAACTTTAACTCCAGATGCTGTACTGTAGGTAGGGTCATAAAAGTGTCCCATGTGTGAGGTGTATTGCTCCAATGAGCACCATTTGTAGTCCACTCTGACCACAGTAGGGGAGACGCACATCTGGCCCTATTGTGTGTGGACAAACTGATAGCAGACAACCATTAACCTTTGTGGGGCTCACATTGGCATTGGTTATAAAGTAAAACAGATAATGTAGCTTAATTATTTATAAATAAAATATAGTAATAATTCCCTAATGTGATCCAAGCAATAATGTGAGAAAAGTGAGAAAATCTTGATCTGTCAGCTTGATTTAAAGTACATTTTATCTCTTTTGTCCTAGATCTATGAGGTAGAAACAATGCCAGGTATGTTGCTTGATCATTTGTCTACATGTTTTAGCTTTTTGCACAAAAGTGATGTTTGAAAGTTAAAACAATGTTAGCTTATTTTTTTCCCTTTTTTGTTATTTCTTTTGTGTTTTTTTTGATTGATTAAATATCAGTCATTTACAATCCCGACTGCTGAGCTGATCTGCTGTGTGATTGGTCCGTCTGTCTGTCTGTCCAGATTTTGATCCCCTCCCACACATTCCAGTGGTGGAGATTCTGTCAGATGATGAGTCTGAGGTAGAGTCTTCTCAGTTCCCACCAAAGTGAGTACAAAACACCTTTTACTACACATTCACAAAGATAAATCTGAACCCTCGCACACCAACACATAAACAGCACCTGACGTTTGATGGATTCCTTTGTCCTGTGGAGTCCAAAGTCCATCAGCTAGATTTTGATAGACAATCTGAATCAAATACACACACACACGTAGACACGCATACACACATCAATACAGGTAGTTAAAAAAACGATAAACATGTGATGGGCTAACTTTTCTTTTTTTGATGCTGCAGCGTGGTGACCTGGATAAAGCGGATGGTCCCTCAGCCAATTTTGCTGCCCCCTGGTGCTGTACCTATTGAACAATCAAGCAAGGCATCCCTTTCCTCTCTGGACAAAAGTACATACACACACTGACACACACAAACATTAATGTACATTTGTCCCAATGCACACCAGTGGGCAGAGCACAAACCTACACACTGGCATGGACATTCACAACACATAACTTACACACTACCACACTAAAATCTCTGCTGCACTTCGGACATATTCTGACTTAATTGGATGGATTCTTGCTTTGTACGCTGAAATTCACGTCTTTCTCTTCTTTCCAGTTTTGTCTCCACCACCTGAGTCTCTCAGTGGAATCTCACTGGATACTGACAGCAAGGCCTCAGCGTAGGTTTGATCCATCACTGTCCTATTTTATCACTCTCTTCAACATGCAAGATAAAACAACACTTGCATGGAAAAACCTTTTTATTACAAATATTAGCCAGCTTGCAAAGCTTGGCCAGCTATAGAGCAAATGGAGCTTTAGCCCTGAGGGTTGTAATTGGCTTAACATGTTATCCATCCATCAATCTTACAACAGTACATGGACAGCTGAGATGTCTACGCCGACAGGCTTTACTGATGTTTTCCTTGGAAATGATTGCAGACTGTTAATAAGTTTGTCTCTTGACAGTGTGGTTGGCTGGTTCGTGTCAGGACTGGGCCTGAAGATGCCTCAGCCCGCACTTCCATCCAAAGATAATGCTGAGGTAACTTTTGGGAATGAATAAATACTTCTTTCTTCCTTCTCTTCTAATTGTCTTTCAGCCCCGTCAATCTTTCCTTACCACCTATCCTTTGTGATTTGTATTGCCACTTCAATTTTTCTAGAACTATATCGATAGCAATTCAATTTATACAATCTTTTTTTACTTTTTTATTTTCCCAGGGTGCAGCTGAAGTTCTACAGAAAGGTGAGTTTAAGTTTTATTTGCTTAATAATACTTTCCTGTAGTCAGTAGAAACCCTACGCGTGCCATTTTCCTTGTCAGTATCGCTGCTCCCGAATGCCACAATTCACAGTTCAATCAAATGGATCTCACATAATGTTTGTGTTTAAGTCACTGGAGAGTAATTGCTACAACTAGAAGAAAACATCTCTTTAATAACATGGGGTTCATTTTATTCAAGTCATTATTTATTTTTCCTCCATTTGAGTAACTCCCGTGGATCTGTGTAATATTTGGAAAGTGTTGTACACGTTTTCTTCCGTTGAAGTACCCTCTTGTTTTTCCCCCCATAGTTTTTGAAGAGGTGTTTTGGTCGGACGGTCGGAGCCTAACTCAGTCCCTCTTCTCCTTCTGTTTCAGGGGGGAAGGCGCTGCGAGCCCCTTGAACAGCAGGAGGAGACGACTGGGGGACGCTCTGATTCCCAGACAGACAAATGCTAATATACACATTGTACTGTTGGGCTACAGGTGCTGTGCAGCGTGCAGCTCAACAGATCTAGGCAGCTGTAAAATAAATATGTTATAAAGATATATTCAACTCACCTTACTGTACTTTGTACAGTTAAAAATGAATGTATTGCAACTTATATGTGTCCACTTAAAAGTGTACTGTATATTCTATAGCTAATTAGATGAGTTTTTGGGATTTGAATTTTGCACATTTTCTATTTGACACAGAAACATTTAGTGATGGTCATTTATTTGAAACGACTGCAGGTTTCATTCACAAAAGATTGCAGGGAGAACATTTTATGTAAATTTATTGTGCTTTAAGCTATGGCAATGTACACTTTATATTCCTGTTGCCATTTTCCTCTGTCTCTCTATCTCTTAATATTATACAACGGGAGATAAAAAAGATGATTCACTGGTCATTCATTTAGACACAAGAATAATTACAACACACGATGTCCAATCTTCCTCATTCAATTAACAGAAATCTGGAACGAATATCAAAATGGCAGCTATGTTCATTTATAATTGTGTTATTTTTGGACTAAGTATAAACTATTATCAATATTTGCACTTGATATTTAGAGGAAATTATATTATTAATTTATTTTTTATATATATAAGTCGTACTCATTAACTCATTAACTATTGTGCTCCTAGAAGGTTGTGTTTAGTTTGGGTCTTGATGATGTAACAGTTTGAGTCAGCTTTTCCACAGGCTTAATTGAGGTTGCACTCACACAATGAGTGCACAATGTAAGAGTAGGCCTATTTGATCCATTTGATTGGTTTCTATATGTTGAACTGTGAAATGTGGCTTGGGGATGTGGTGTTGTTTCAGAAGGTTTGACTTCATTAGAAAAAAACATATTTAGTCACATATGTTGACTGTCCTGCAGACAAGGTGGTAGAACACCTTCATGTAATTACACGCTGTAATGTTAGGATACTACAGGACCAATAAAGATTCAATGTGAAATCATTTCATGTGGATGTCTTATCAATAACGCCCTCCATTACCTCCTGAATATTCTACATATGAAGATGAATTACATTAAAAAGGAAAGCTGTAGTGGATGTTTTCTGCCCTTCGTGAAATAAAACCCCTCACAAGTGAGCATGTTGAAATTTGAGTACAGCGGTACCTGTATTATGAACACTCTTGCCTGCAATCCTTTTTGATAATTACAGTAGATACATAAATCATAATTTCAAATCCTGCCTGTAATCCGTGTCCATTTGTTTTCATATATCCAAACCCAAAACCAAATCCATCTCCAACATTTCCGATGTCAACCACACGTCCCTTCTTACAAACAAATCGGTGCTTGTCGCCCTCTTGCAGCTTCATCCAAACTCAAACCTGACATGATACTAGAAGACGTGGACTCAGACAGCGAGGGCCAGCAGAAACCTAAAGATCAGCCCAAAGCTGCAGCGCTGTCCACATCACCGACTCCACCATCACCGACTCCACCATCACTGACTCCACCATCACCATCACCGACAGCAAACCAACAGCCGGAAGCGACGCAGCAGACGCAGTCCAACCCAGAGCCAGAATCGTCAGAGAGTGAGAGAAGATCTCAAGAAGATGCTGAGACCCAGACGGGCCGCTGGACGCCGTTCATCGAAAACATCAAGAAGGAGGCTGAAGGTGTTGCTATGGCTACCATGGAGGAGCGGTAAGACGGGTGGAGTATAAGACAATGGAGGTGGTCACTTCCACTGAACGTAAATGCCCCCTATCATGTAACATGATAATGAAAATAATTGGAAGTTAGTAAAAAGTATTTATCTCCTAAAGAGTAGTCACAATACTGGACCCTGTCTAGTCAATAATACCAGTAATTCTAGGTAAGCTAACAGGTTGTTGTCAGTAGCAAATGGTGCAAACCTAAACAAATGTCCGCTTTAAATATCCCATAATCATCATTTAAGAGCTAGCACATAGTGTGCGTCATTAATTATATCCCCCCTGATTAACTCAAAGGATTAGGAGACCAGGGGTCAAGTCTTCCACAAAACAGTAGCAATAACACAGGCTGCAACTTGTAATGTATGCCTCTTTTTAAGGGATTGCCTTGCTTTATGCTCTGATAGTCTTCCTGTCTTGGTTGAAGCAGTACATATACAACTATACACAGTGGTTGACATATAGTGGGAAGGCTAAACTAACCTGGTTTGGTGTTGAGGCCAGAGAATTGTTGCTGTGCGATCTGAAGTCACTGCAATAAGAAAGAAGACTCTTTTCACATCCCACTTTTCATTTACCATTTTACAAACATTTACCGCACAGCACAATCACATCAGTGTGTCCCGTCTCTCTTTAGTCTGCTGCAGGAGCGCGTGGAGATGGTACGTATGGCTGAAGAGGTGGCCAGAGAGACAGCTGAGATGGCCATTAGACAGATGGCCAGTGAGGGGCAGTCCATTAATCTCTCACTGGGGAGTAGAGAACTGCTGCAGGAGGAGCCTGACGCCGAGTAAGAACTTGTGTTCAATTAGACAGAGAGAAGGTGTTTGTTTCGGCATTGTGTGTATTTTGCCGAGCATCCTTGTGAAGTGATGTGACACGGCGTGTTCCCTGTGACCAGGCTGCCAGTGCCACAAGAAGAGGAGAGCACAGTGGACCACAGTAAAGTCACAGAGTAAGAATGCATATATGGAGTCTTACCCGTCCTCAACCTCCTTGAAATCCTTCGTAGGACCCTCGAGTCACTTAGTCTTTCACCTAGAAATTGTATTATAGTGCTCCTGTGCTGTGCCTAATAGATCCTTAAAATAGTTATTTATTGATGTTTTTTCTCATACATATATAAACAGATTTCTAAACTTAGAAACTATCCTGACGACTTTATTTCAAGAGGGAATCTTGTCTGGAGCAGCTTGTTGAACTGATGCGACTCAGTGGTGGAAGAAGTATTCTGATGCTTTACTTTGGTAAAGGTAGCAACATCACAATGTAAAATACTTGATTACAAGAAAAAAGCATTTGAGCAGCATTTATTGTTGCAACTAGGTAGAGCTGATTTACATTACTTTATATACTGTTAGGTGGTTCAAACTGTAACAGTGCGTCATCTGTAATAAGATGATCATACGTTTAAATGTGCAAAGTAACTCTATCGGATAAATGTCAGTGAAGTGAAAAGTACAATATTTCCCTTTGAAATGTCGAGTTGAGTAGAAGTATAAAGTATGATAAAAAACAAAGAAGGTAAGTAAAGTACAAGCTTGGGTGCAAGTAGCTGACATTATAGATGGACTTAAACGCACAGTGAGGCCTGCTAGCCCCAGCTCCACTGCCAGTGTTATGAATTCAGTTCCCAGTCTGATCCAGCACATTCGGCTGTCGGGTCCCAAATCCCGTGGGTTCTCGTTATGTGATCTTCGCTGCGCGCTGCCTCAGCATCACACTACCGTGTCATAGCAACCACAGCTTCCCGTGGCAACGGCTGATCCCCCCCCCTCCTCTCCGCTTAACGGTTACCCCGGTAACAGCGCGCACCTGCTGCTGCTGTTTTCACGTCTGGAGACGCACGCAGAGAGAATGATGGTCGGAGATGTAATGGAACATTTTGATTGTTGTTGTTTTTTCTAAAATTTCTAAAATCTCCTGATGTGGTTCACGCGACCTCACAGCCGAGTTCATGCTACTTATTCGTGGACATTTTGTGTCTCGACTGCTAACGATTAACGCACGTGAATATTGACAGAGAAAGTGAGTATCTCGTGATGACATCGTGTTTAGGTATTGGACTTACATATGTTGTGAAATGAATAACGTTGACCTATTATTTAACCCTAACCTTATGAGGTAATTAGCGTTACAGGCCTGTCAAAGTCAGTCGTGTTATGCTAAAAACGTGGGATAACACTAACAAGTAGCTGACAGTGAGTAAAGTTAATGCTTCCACGTTGTTCCATCATCAAATGAAATGTGAGTCAGGATGTAACCTGTGCTTTGTCTTTCACCGTCTTCTGTTTGTAACCGTTATTCAGTGAAGAATAAGTGAGCAGAGAACAACATTTATTTAAAAAACATTTACATTCTGCCTTCTGTAACCATCGTAAGTGCAGTCTATAAAATACAAGTAATAATAATAATATTTATAATGTGTGCTACTACTGCAGATAATAAAAACAAGGAGTGTAACGTAAATAATAATATCATGTTATTTCTGTCATGTGCAGCCACCACAGGTCTTGAAGCCCAGTTTTACAGAATTAGGCTACCCGTGTTGTCATTTTTTTTAACACACACTTTTTTGTGCCACATCCAACTTCCATGTTTCCAATCCTCAAAACTGCTGAAATGTGATTTAACCTCTCTAAATACAGCCACACATTTTCAGAATGTGCAAACAAGATTCAATGAGACTGAAAAGTCTGTCTGTATTTGCACATGTTGTTTTACTTTCCAAAACAGCTGAAAGTGTAACATGTAAATTCTGTATTAGGTTTTCCCGTAGAAATACCAGCATTTTCATCCTTACTGCAGTCCTTATTTAATACAACCGTCATTTAATGAACCAATTTCCTGAACTCAGTGTGGGCTCAATGTGGGGAACCTCACACTACCAGACACAGTGAAACATGATTTGTCCAACTCTTTTTGTCACCTGTCCTGCAGAACAGAACAGAGCCTTCCTGAGGAGCCTGAGGAACCTATCAATGAGGAACCAGGTGGAGAATCCATTCTTTTTTATTTTAATAATCCCTTAGATTGTAGAAAAGAGTCCAAAATCACAAAAGTAGAGACTTTTCTTTTTTGATAATATCTCTAAACTCTTTTTAACCCCTGCATCTTATATGTCATAGTATGTTTCTGTAGTATTTGTATCAGGCAGATACTTTTGGTACGTTTGTGACTGTTGGGTTCTCTGATTAAATCTTAAATCTTATGAAATCTATAATTAAAACAAAAATGTAGAGCCGCCAGAGGAAGCAGAGCCACAGCAGACCTCCCCCTCTCCACCTCCAAGACCTGAACCAGTTAACATCTCTGAGCCGGAGCCTGAATCAGAATCAGAACCAGAAGCAGAACCAGAGACCAAGACCCAGGAAGCCAACTCAGAAGCTGAGCCTGTAACGCAGCAGCCGCAGAAAGCAAAGGAAGACGGTCAAAGCCCTGACGCTGACAAAGCTGGTGAAAAGGTAACATCCACGAGTTTAACAGACACATTTAATTTGACCTCCTGCACTGCCTGACCTTATTGAGGAATATCATTTTCATATATAAATTCCTTTTTTTTGGTGGGTTCTTTGTCCCTACTGGCCTATTTTTCATTTTTTTTCCAATCCACATTATGTCATATCCGACCCCAGCTGATGCTCACCACTCCCCTGCCATTCATTCATATGCTTTGTGTTTGTAGGAGGAGGAAGCTACTGGGGACGACTGTGGTGGTATGTACTATTCTAATTAGTTATTATGTTTGTTGTTTTTGTTTTATATATGACTGCGGTTAGAGTTGCTGTATTACTGCTCTAATTAGCAGTCTCATTCCTGTATTTCTGACTAGCCGGTTATGTTTAACTCACAAGCTGCTTAACTGACTGCTGTTTTACATGCATGTCTACAACCAGACTACTCCCACGATGTTGATGTCATTGCTGTTAGAGTAAATGTTGCCTGGTGACTGTAGCCCATGGTCATTATAGATCTTCTTGTCTAGAAGTCTGACTTTGTCCTTCAGACTGACTACGCTGCTGTTTGCCTGTCTACTGAGGCCATCTCCCACCTTGCTTAAATCCTGCCTGACTGTATATCTGCCTACCTGTCTCCTCTGTAGCTCCCATCAGCTGTGATGCATTTAAGAGCTGCCTGATGCGCATTCCTCACACCTCCGAGTGCCTCGGCAACATCAACGCGTTCTTCAAAGAGAACGGCATCTCCATTCCCAAAATACCCTCCATGCCTAAGCTACCCACCCAGCTCTCTGATGTTACCACGCTCTTACCCACCCTCCCCCCTGAATTGCGCCAAGAGCTCTCCCAGATCCGACTCACGCAGATCCCCAGAAATATCGCCCAGACTGTGACTGAGTTATTGCCCAAAACCTCAGAGGGTTCAGTCGGCCTTAGTCTTCCCGAGAGCCTTTCAAACATCCCGCAGAAGCTCTCCCAGTTTCCCAGCCAAGCGCAGCAGTACTTCCTCAACGTCCAGAACCGCCTCAACAGCCTTATGCCTCAAGATGCCTAAAAAACAACAACAACAACAACAACAACAACAACAACAGCAAAAACAGAAGCAAGACAAGAATCAGCAAGATGTTGAACTGAACCGGCTCGTCCGACACTCCCCTCTTCCTCCTCCTCACCATCCGCAGCTCCGGTCCCGCTCCCCGTCTCCATCCTCCCCCAATGGTAGCGCCCTCGAATTGCCCAACGTCCCGTCCTACCCACGCCTGCCACCAATTGTCAGCCCCCCATCAAAGCAGCTCAACTCAGCGTCCCGCCAGCTGTCAGGTCTCTCTAACCCGGCGTTCTTCATTGAAGATGACTCAGACATTGCAGCATTGAGACCCACAGGTGACTCTGCAGGAGTGGAAAGTTTAATGTGTTCCATCGTGAGATTCCTTGTAGATACCTGAACTCAGCCAAAACAAGTAGTAAACAGTTGCCTCTATATTTTTAATTTTAGAACTGGTTTATGCTCTAAAATTAAAAGTGATTAAAAGTGAAACTGATTGCCCCTAAACTGTAACAAAGACATTTGCAAACAGTAAATGATCAACTGAGTTCAGATGTCATGGCAAATTCACTGAAGGTGTGTTCAGGATTAAGAGCACGCTGTCAGGGATAAAAGAGTAGCGGTTTTGTGTTGTGGTGGACTTTTGTATGTTTATGTGTCGTCTCGTTCTGTCATTTCTCAAATAAGCTCAGGCAGGGTGTGAATAAAGCAGCACAATAAATTGGTTGCCATTCGGTGAACATGCAACATCCTCAAACTACTCCATTATTTTGCCTGGAAAAAAAAGGGATTCAGAAATGTTTAAAATGTGTACTATGACTGCCCTCCATTTCCATATATCTTTGATAAAGTCTGTAACAAACCGTAAACAACGCACCAGAGGAGGCGGCATACTGACTGCGGACATTTTTATTAAATGAAGACGACAGAATTGTGCCAGTGTACCGTGAGCCTGATTAGCAAGACTGAACAGCTTGCCAGATGAGTAAGCTAGTCCTCTGAGCTATCAGGGCGCTCTTATACATGGCCTAGTTCACAGGTGGATCCTCTTGCATTAGCCCGATGTAGGCCCTCTGCCTCTCTCTCACACTGCCTGCCCCGCCTCTGCTTGTAACTGTGACATGCTTTGCCCCTGGCAGTGCTGTAAGACCATCCTAGTTGTCCTAAATACACATACACTTAATTTGCGATGCTCTTTATTCATCAACAAACCATGTTTTTCAACCTCTCCAGAGAGCTCTAGCCTCAGCCTTCGTCCAGCTGTCAATGTAGAGGATGTCGACTCGGACCAAGAGAAAGGAGGGGAAGGAGGAGGAGGAGGAGGAGGAGGAGGAGGAGGGGAGGAACAGAGCAATATCCCCCAAATCCTCACCCTTCAGGACCCCAAACTCACAACCCTCACTGTCCCTGTGACCCCCTCCGGAGGTCGTCAAAGGTAGGACATACTGCCACTAGTGGTTTTTGTAATTTGCTGTTAGGACAGCACCTGTTTTACCAAGAGGTTTATGCTGTGTATTAACACCAGTGGGGGATCATTTATGTCATATTGTAGGATACTGAGAGGCTGAGTTTAGGTTTTAAAAACAGTTTATCAGGGTGTGCATTACACTATTTGTAATCTTTTCCTCTCTCCTCATGCTTTCGTCTACAGTAAAGGAGATAAAGAGTAAGAAAACTGCATGGGTCGTTTGAGTTGTAGTGCTTGTAATCGTCTTTCAACAGTCATCATTCTTTTTCTCCAATGAAACCACACATATGCGTAGCTTATATGCATTCAAGAGAGAAATCCATAATAACATCACTAGAATATGTTTTTTGGGTTATGTCATGGTGCAAATCTTCGTTGTTGGCAAGTGGAGGCTTTTCAACCAAAATGAGATTAGATTGAATATTAGTAGATTTGAGAAGATTATAGATTACTAAACATTTGCTTATAAAATACAAACAATTCCAGTGATAGAATTATGTTTTATCATCATTTATGGTTTGAATGAATCATTTTGGGTTGAGATTCTTCATGTGTTCCCTCTGCTTAGTGCTCTACTGCCCTCTACTGTCTGTTGTACAGTCTGGATGTCAGTGTCCTGCAGAAACATTGTGTGTTGCTTACGAATATCGGAAATATCTTTCTATTTGATCCCAGGGTTGTGAAAATTCTTTTGAACCTAACAACAACAGTGAGAACTGCCAAAATGACACACACAAGCAAAGCAGCACATACTGTTTATGCAGAACACAGTTTGTCATGTGAATCATGGTGGAGCTGAATTGTTTGTGTTGTTTTGTGTTGTGATTTTCTCTTTACTTTTGCATGAATTTCACAGATATTTGTTCTTTTGGCTGTTGTGTGGATAATGTCATAACATAGCAGAAGTCAATAAATGGATGGATCACAATCTTCCACTTGTATCATCACTCTGTCACCTAGACATGGATGGATTACTGAACGGGCCTACCAGGTAGGGGCTCAAAATGTCATAGGTCCTGACTCAAAATGTCGCTGAAAAAATAAGAAAACACAAATAGAAAGCGGCTCAATGACCACAAACATATACAAAACAGCTACAAATGACACAAAATGACTACAGAGATGCAAAACATCCACCAAGAAACATAAAATGGAGAAAAATGGTTGAAAAACCGACACAAAAAGATGGAAAACAATCAGAGATGTAAATTGATCTCAAAGAAATGAAAAATTACCAAAATAGACACAAAACAATCACAGAGACGCAAAACTGCTCAAATTAGATGCAAAACGACTGCAACGGGACGTGAAATGACTCAAATTAGGATGTCTTGTTCCTATGCAGACAGGCTGAGGGGCCCTTACATGTCTGAGCCCAGGGCCCATTGTCTCATAATCCATCCATGCCTGTAGAACACTGCAGGTTATTGTCTTCACTTGTCATCTGTTTCTTGGATTAATATCATGCCTTCCCTGGCACACACTCCATACCCCCCCTCTCTCTCTCTCCCCCGATCCCTTTTTCTGAAACACACACTCTCCCTGACAGTAGTGGAAGGCATCGTCGGTCTATCTGGACAAAGATGTAAGACATCAACCCTTGTTAAATACTGTATTGACTCATATAGTATCCATCTGTCTCTGTATTCACACATCGTGCTGCCCAGTCATGGATACATAGTGGATATAAACTCCATAGCCTTTCATTAATCCAGTCCTTGCTCATTATTTTTGCATTCCTCACAATCATGACTACAGAGTGAGCACGAAAGGCAGAAGTCAGCTTATAGTGTATGTAAATAATTTGATTCTGTGTCTTAACATTTACACAAACTGCTTAACAGAATGTTTAGTAAAGCCACACCGCCGTGGATTTTAGTTTGACAAAGGGCAGCAATAATAAAGTTAGGCAGCACTGTCTCAAAGTTGGACCAACGATGTTGCTGTGTCTACTTAATGTAAACAGTAGGACCCTTCAATCTCAAAGTGAAGATGATGATGATGAAGGAGGCATGCCAGTCAGAGCCTGGCCCAGCCAGTCCAGCCTGCACAATTCAGATGACATGTGAGCGCTGTGCACACACACACACAGACACACACACACACACACACACACACAAAACCAAAATGAAGATGTATTTGGAGTTTTGGAGTGCTGACATGAGGTCATAATAATAAACATCATCATCTAACTTTATTTTTCTCCAAGACTGAAAGAACGTCCAGCATCTTCAGCCAGTCAGACCAGTACGGTGGTCAACGAGCGTCTTCAGGAGCTGGTCAGGATGTTTAAAGAGAGAACAGAGAAAGCGAAGGAGAAACTCATTGAGCCTGACAGCTCAGATGAAGACAGCATCATCCCCTGTGAGTTAGAATCTCTGTCCTTTCTCTCTCTTTCCCCTCTACACACACACACACACACACACACACACACACATTGCGCTGGTCTTCAGTGCTGCATGGGTCATACAGCATATTGCATCCTAACATACAAAAGTGGTACGTAGATTATAGATAGCATATTTTATTTCCAGGTTACAAGTGTCAGCCTCGTCCAGCCGAGAAAATGTCTTGGCATTTATGTCATAACCACACCCTGGACTTCCATCTAAACACAAAAAGTACACTTACAGTATATTTTTATATAATTTCCCCATATAAAAATCTAGGCAACATTTGTTATCACTAAATTTATAAATGTGCTTTCTGGCACATCAGTTTTTAGGGTGTACGACAGTCAGAAAAAAGCAAATGTCAGCGCAAATAATGGATTCTTTTTTTTGTTTTTTATAACATACACATGGTGTCATATCTAGCTGATAAGGGTGTCATGTGGGTTTAAAAGGGTTTGTGAATCACTGATTTAGATCAGGATAATCTTAAATTAAGAATATTTTGTCAAACCTGCCTCCAGCTACATATCCTTCATTGTAAAATAGTTTACATTTAGTAACAGAGAAGGTGTGCAGATCTGTCTGTGGCAGTCAGCACCTACTGGCTGAAGTGTACAAAGTGTACATTAGTCTCGTAAGGGATGATCCTCAGCATATTCCTTGTTCCTGTAACTTCTTAGGAAAAAAACTATGTTCTAGATTCACTCGAATTGTGTTGTTTTGAGCCAAGAGACACCAGTTTGTCTCTTAAGAAATGTCTGCACAGCTAACACCTTTGTGCCCTTAGTGATTGAAGCACTATGATCCGGTCTGAGATGGTAAACCTCCATCTTCTGACCTTTTGCCCCTTCCCTTCTCACTTCCCTTCAGCTCCTCCTCAGGCTGCAGCTCCTCAGCCTGCTCCTGGAGCTCAGCCAGTGGACGAGAGAGAGAAGGAGGCACAAGCAGGTCCATCAGGAGGAGGAAGGGGAGGAGGAGGAGGAGGAGGAGTGGAGAGTGGGGCAGATGAGGAGCAGTCTAGCCGCTGCTGCAAGGTGAAAACTCCTCGGTGGATACGAGCTTGTATGCACTACCGCTTCCCTGCCAGCATCGACCCTTTCACCAGTGAGAACCCAGCCGAACGCCACCCGCTGCCCCCTACAGGGCCGCACTGCTCAGTACAATCTCCTTTACTTGAACTACTCAGAAATGAATGACAAACACCCAGAGTCTTATCTGGCAGCTCCTCTTTTTTCAGCCACACTGTTCTGACAACATTTCTAAAATAACACATTGATAAAAAAAATGTATTGAGCTGTTTAATGCTCATCCAAAAGGCAACTAAAGAAACACTCAAGAATTATTTTTTGTTTTACCTGTTCTTTTAATATGCAAACAGAATGTTAAACATTATGAGGTTTGGGTAAAGGAGATCATCTGTCATTTGCCCTTTTCTCTTCCTTTTTATACAATCTTTGTGAGCCAGTTAATTTTCTATCACTTTTCTGTCTCTTTTCTGTCTCCTTTAGTACAAATACAACTTCCAAATTATGCAAATGTTGCTTTATAATACAGATTAGATCCAGTTTATGTGTAATGCTCTTTGTCATGCTCTTATTCTAGTTAACAGCATATAATCATGGTAGTTGGTGCTTGCGCAGTGACCACCACTTCTTCTGTGAATACTGAGTAATTCCAGCCTTTCCTTACATTCAGTTCTCCTATTGTCTATTTTCCCTCAATTTCTTCACCTCTCTCACTCCCTTCATCCTCTCATCATCTTTGGCTCTCTCCTCAGACCTAATGTACGTGCTGTGGATGTTTTTGGTCTGTCTGGCGTGGAACTGGAACGCGTGGTTCATCCCAGTGCGCTCGGCCTTCCCTTACCAGACTCCAGACAACATTTATTACTGGCTGCTGACCGACTACCTGTGTGATCTCATTTACATCCTGGACATCACCATCTTTCAGCCGCGCCTGCAGTTTGTTCGTGGAGGGGACATAGTGGTGAGTGGGGACGTTCGCCATTACCGTAACCGAGAGCCTGCTCATAGTGGGAACCTGAAACAGGAAACACTGGGTTACAGTGAACAAAAGAAGAAACAGTCTCTGTCGTTATCAACAGCTGAAGTGACATTTATCACATGAGTGTACATCATGTTGATACAATAACGTATCAGGCCTAACGTAGCTCTTTTAAAAAAATAAAGTTAATAATAAAGTTAATAATTAATAGTTAATAATCAACTTACCAGGATCAGAATTTATATCTGCAGTTGTTATGTTTTTTATTACAGTGTGACAAAAAAGACATGAGAAAGAATTACATGACAACCAAACGATTCAAAGTAAGTAACCAGAGCTGAATAAAAGTACATTTTTGAGTGTGTTCGGCTTTACTTCACATATTATGCGTTGAGTCAATCATCAAAGCAGTTCAGCGAGTGAGGCGGTACCTTCTTGTTTTTCAGTTTGATGTTGCCAGTCTTGTTCCCCTGGAGCTTTTCTACTTTAAAACTGGCATCAACCCTCTCCTTCGCTTACCCAGGCTGCTGAAGGTGAGGTTTAATATGGTTTATTCAACCATTTTTCTCTGATCAGCCCTTTACAACCTGTTCCAGTTTCAGCATTCTGGCAACCAACACACTGAGAATCCTTCCACATAAATTTAATAAGCTGCTACACACACATCAACATTACACTGATGGCATCTAAACAAAGGAAAAGTTCATTTCCAAGGCTCTGTGTATCCGTTTTGAGAAATCAGAGTGCAATTATTCAGATTTCACTCTTTAAATGTTTTTTTCTGTTCTATCAATGCCTCTAGATCAACTCCTTCATTGAGTTCAATGAACGTCTAGAGGCCATCTTGACCAAAGCCTACATCTACAGGTCAGCTGTAGCCTCGTGGTGTATCTGAATCTGCATTCACACCAAATCAGACATTGCGCTGATTAGCGCTGGGTTGTGCGGCGGTGTGGGAGTGTCAATTAAATCAGCTATTCTCATCCACACATCATCAGGTAGATGAACGGGTTAGCAAACGTTCCCTCAGATGCAGTGACACAAAATGGATTGATTTCTGAAACTAAAGAGTGATGTGGGAGCAAACCCTGCATGAATAAAAGCTGTGGTGACAAAATATGACCCTGAATACATTATATTTGGATAATGGCAGGCAGGGATGGGTGAATGTAAGAAGAATATTTATTCAAGTCACAACACCTGACAGTGGCATAAAACATATTTACAGCCCAGTTTATTGTTTCTCATATTAATCATGTTCTTCATTATTTGAGAAGGTGATTCTCAGATTTGTTTTTTTAACAATCAGAAGTGGGCCTTACGTTACAAAAGTTTGAGAACCCTTGACTTAACCTTGATTTGAATGGCCTATTGATCGACGGTTACGTGATCGGTAACATCAGCGTGACGTTGGATGCATGGGAGGACTGGTGTCTTCACCACAGCGCCTGATTTGGAGTGAATGCAGCCTCACTGCACTGGCAGTTCTATCTCTGTATGCTCAGGTTGTCGTCCTTCGTTTAGATGGACTCAGATGAACAAATTACTGGTTTCTGGTGTTCAGTGTGTGCAAATGTGTTGCTCTCTCACTCTCTGTCTCTCAGGGTGATCCGCACCACCACCTATCTCCTTTACTGTCTCCACTGTAATGCCTGTCTTTACTACTGGGGCTCTGCCTACACAGGACTAGGATCAACCAAGTGGGTGTACAATGGCGAAGGCAACAGGTTGGTAGGATAAAAACAGACACACACACACACACACACACACACACACACACACACACACACACACACACACACACGAGGCAACAGCTTTTGCTGTTTTTGTTTTGAAGATTAGGACGGGGGTTTAAAGGAGATTGACAGGTGCACAGCTGTTGAGATAAAACACAAATTTCAGACCCAAAGGAGCAAAGTGACGACCAATGAGGAAGATGTCAACTCATGTGAAGGAAAGCTCACTCTGCTCTGTGATATTCACACAAATGACCTACAATATATCTCCCCTGGTCTTTTCTAGTCGCTTATTTTGAGTTTAATTCTTCATTTCATTCATTTTAAAACCCATCATGTTGAACTTAGCCCTTTTCCTTGTTCTGTCTCTTTCTGATGCCTCCTGTCTTTGTCTCTGCTCAGCTACATTCGCTGTTACTACTTTGCGGTGAAGACCCTGATCACCATTGGCGGTCTGCCAGACCCCACCACGCTGTTCGAGATTGTCTTCCAACTCATCAACTACTTTGTTGGAGTCTTTGCCTTCTCTATCATGATTGGACAGGTAGGTATAGAAATAGAATGGAGACATGTGTGCCTTCCACATGTATTTAACCTTAAAGGCTCCAGTGTGTTATTCTTTTTATTATGCACTTCATGCAGCAAAGACATTCATACGTCATAAGTGTCTCTGTGCAAGGATGGTGTTGAATTAACAAACGTGTTTTGTCTCTCAGATGCGTGACGTGGTTGGTGCAGCTACAGCAGGTCAGACCTACTACCGCACATGTATGGACAACACTATCAAATACATGTCCTCCTATCGCATACCCAAAGAGGTGCAGAACCGTGTCAAAACCTGGTACAACTACACCTGGCAATCACAGGGCATGCTGGGTAAGGAGAGCACAATCTGTGTCATATATATCTTATACATCTGACCTGTTCAGTCATACTGTTCCTATCACTGTCTGCCTTCCAGATGAGCAGGACCTGCTCACTCAGTTGCCAGATAAAATGCGTTTGGACATTGCTATAGACGTCAACTACTCCATTGTCAGCAAAGTCCCTCTTTTTCAGGTAGGACTTCCTAAAAACACATGTTTTGTGAGTGTCCCTTCTGAATGAAAACAGTCTTTCTGCGAGGCCCAGCTGAGTAGTTAAGCTAGTGCACTAGCCATAGAGATCAACAAGAGATCACTGTTTCCTCTTCTGTTTTTTGTCCTTCCTCTTGACAGGGTTGTGACAGACAGATGATCTTTGACATGCTGAAAAGCCTACGCTCTGTTGTTTACCTGCCTGGGGATTATGTCTGCAAAAAGGTAAAAGGCAAACTCACTTGTGTTTTGTTTGTAGAAGACAACTGTGTGTGGCAACTTTAAAAAAAAGTGTTGCTACTTGTATTGCTCTCTGCCTCTCATCGTCTGCCTCTGCCTCTCTCTCTTTTCTCTTGCTCAGGGCGAGGTGGGTCGGGAGATGTACATCATAAAGGCTGGGGAGGTGCAGGTGGTTGGAGGACCGGATGGGAAGACAGTGTTTGTCACTCTCAGAGGAGGATCTGTCTTCGGAGAGATCAGGTGAAGAAATTTTCCCCGGGTGTGATTAGTGAAAACATCTTCTTTAAAGATGCCTACATATTTCCCACCATTGAACAGGATTCCTTATCTATCTGAGCTGCCAAAAGTGTGATTTTTACAAGGTTTGGTTCTAAATCTTTTGCATGGAATCCCAAAAATGATGCTTTAAAAAGTCTGACCTCTGCTTTCCTGAAATTGAAAAGTCAAACGAGATGGAAAATGTCATTCTCAACCATAATTTCTCTGATTGGCAGTTTGCTCGCAGTAGGCGGGGGTAACAGGCGCACGGCAAATGTAATCGCCCACGGATTTGCCAATCTATTCATCCTCGACAAGAAAGACCTGAATGAGATCCTGGTCCACTACCCCGAGTCCAAGAAACTGCTCCGCAAGAAGGCCAGGTTAAACATCAATGAAACTCACTGTGCTCTCTGCTTTGTATATATGTCCTGTACAGATGTAGTGGGGCCACCAGATCAAAAATCGACTCACACAACAGCCGTGCTTCTTTGTCTGCTTGTCTGTAATTATTACTGAATTCTGTGACTTTCTCACAGGAAGATGCTAAACAAGGGAAAGAAACCTGAGCCCAAAGAAGAGGCGAAGGATCCCCCTCAGGTCCCGGCAGCCCCTGTTAGACCAGAAACCCCCAAACTGCTGAGAGCAGCCCTGGAGATGACACAGAAATCCTCTGGACTTAAAGGAGCTCTGGCTAAAGTCAAAGAGAAGACTCGCAAGTCCATTGTCTCATTACAGGTAAATACAACAAACCCAACACATATGCACATGTGGCAGAGACAAGAAAGAGAATGTTCTTTATATCGTAGATTCATCTCTTCTCTTCTCTTCCAGCCCTCTTTCTCCTCCTCCCTGCCTCCTCCATCCCCCACCTCCAGCTCCGGACCTGACAGGGACGTGGACACACCATCACCCGTCTCTATCAGCTCCGCAACGCTTCGCTCTACCTCCCATTGCCCCGACCACAACAACTCTGCGATGCCACACTCTGCATCAAGGGGCCACGGTGACGCAGACGAAATGCTCGCCGCGGACCAAAGAGAAGAGGGCGTCAGCGGGGTTGAAGGGACCGAGGGGGGGAAGAGGAAAGAAAAGAAGTCGTGATAATTAAGAGAGAAACAGGTGACAATCCCATAGAGGAGAAGGGAAATCGGAGTGATCAAAGGGGAAAGAAGAAATGCTCTCTTTAAAGGGTAAATAGAGGGTATGTCAGCTATAAATTGACAGAATGGTGTAAAGAAAGAGAGAAGAGGTGTTGTTAATGAACATGTACACAACTGCTATGTCTGGACGTCAACCTGATCTGCTAGTGGGAGTTGTGTGGGACAGCATGAATGCAAAAAGATCAAGGTAGTACTGTATTCCACTCTGACCTATGACCCCTAACCCATTTTATTAGTTATAGCCTTGGAGCCCACTATATCTCAAATATCATCAACATAACATTAGCTGTCGTTTGATGAGCTGTGCTAACCATTAGAAGTTCTTTCAACCTCCACACATTGTGTTTATCTTCATTAATCTCATTAGATCATCGAATGTAAGAGCAAGCCACTCCTCACCTGGTTAACTCTTCAGAATTCAAGCACATCTTCATCATCTACACTGAATTCAAATGTAGCTATGACGATGAGTGGATTGTGTGTGGGGTGGCATCGTCAGGCCATAACTGTGAACTTAGATCAGTCCTTTCTACAGAACTGAACTTCTTGTCTATCCAAAATGTTTTTGCTGTTGTTGTCTGCTGACTGTTGGATTCTTTTGGAAACTTGAAATAACAATTTGCCTTACATGTTTTGTCATTTCCCTTTGTGTTTTGTTGGTGTGAGTATAGCTTGCACTGATGATGTATTTACAAGTGGGTCTGAACAACAGCACAGACCTGGTAGACCTGTATTTAAGGTTGTAACAACATGATCTTCTGTTTCTCCATCATGAGATATGTTTCAAATAATGTTGACAGGTCATTGCAAAGTCAGCACATGTTATTGTACGTAGATTTTCCGTCTTTGACTGTCATAGCTTTAAGCATTATGAGCTAAAACATCACCTAGCCTCTTGTTACCTCCAACACTGGCATTCACATGCTAATCAATGCAATCACTACTCACTAACGTAACAATGTAGCCATCACTACATGTAATACCATTGTTTTACATATTGTATAACTATAATTAACAATATTATGTTCATGTTTTCTTCTGTTTGTTTTGTAAAATAATGTAAATATATTTGTTTTTTGAAATTTAGATGAATCACACGTTCATTTAAGGTTACTGTCCTGCTTTGTAGTGCTGTGACATGTACATACATTCTAATGATGCTAAATATTTAATTTGTTCTGTAAATGTGATAAGGACTAAGTAATGATGAGAGATTTAATGTGTTTGTGTAGATGATTTATTGTATCGATAAAGCCTCAGAAGAAGAGCCCATAGACCAGCTAACCCTCCAGACAATCTGTAGACAGGATGTCAATGTTGCTTCTCCTTTATGGTGTTGTGTGTGTGCATGTGTGTGGTGAGAGGGGAGAAGTGTGTGTGTATTATAATGCCCTTAACATTTTGTCACAGATGTATGCCTGTCTTTTGTGAATAAATGACCTGTTTCAGCATATGTAGTCCTGAGTTTTATGTCTGACCTGCAGTGACCCATTTAGGATCAAAAAGACTATCAACATGACAAACTGTAAAGCTAAACCACAAACTAAAACAGCAACAACTAAACAAACTGTTTGTGATAATATTGTTGAAGATATAATGTGATTACCAGTGCTGTTTTCTACATTCAGCTTTATATAGACAGTGTTTTTTTTCAGTTAGTATATTGATACGAACTAATTTGCATCAATGGCATCTCCTATAATTTACATATACAGTATAGACAGCTTGTGACATTGTTATGTCAAGCTATACTAAACAAGTTTGAGGGTCAAACATAATTTCCTGGTGAATTTTCATGAACAAATTTATGATGTGTTATGAAGAGTCTGCATTCATGTAAAGAACAACAAAATATAAGATTGGATAGAATATAATGCAGTAAGGCTACCAGGCAGTCTGTATTGCTGTCAAATATTAATTCTCCTTTAGATCAACTTTTCATTTAATGTTATCACTGCTGAGTCAACACACATGTAAGCATGCTTTACTCTTCCATTTTGTCTTTACACTATACTATGACATTTTTACAACTGTTTTTATAACATACTATACTGAGTGTTACGTTCCCCGTTTGGCATCTAAGGGATGCGGGGAGTAACGATGTTATTTTTCCCGGGGAAAGAGAGAGTGAGTACTGGAAAGGGTTTGTTTAACAAAGGAATATTTATTTGTAAAAATAGCTAGCTGCTCACAAGGCAGAAAAAGAAAACAACTCTCTGATAACCAGAGAGCGACACTAGTTTATGAACACAATCATAGTATAGTATGTTGAAAAAAGTCATAGTATCGTACAGGGGTATTCAATTAAAATTCCAAAAGGTCCAGATTGAGAAAATCTCCTCGTACAAAGGTCTGGAATGTTACAATAATATCTAACTTGCACTATTTAGTGCCATATACAGTATATATATTCAAGAAGCCTAGTAGGAATAACGTCTCTGTGTAGTCAACAACTGTCAACTCATATAAAGAAAGTACATCAATTATATTTTTTATTTTATTTATTTATTTATGTCTCTCTCTCATACAGTCATTCAGGTTCAGGTTTTTAGAGGACTAAGTACATAAAATTGTCTGTCTGTCTGCCTGACTCACTGTCACGACCCGGCTCTTGAGCCATGACAAAATGGAAGACACACAGGTGGTTAGACGGAAAAGTTTGTATTTATTCTCAACAAAACAAAGACATGGTGCTGCAGGAACAGAGAGAGCTCCCGACTGCGGCAGGCAGGTCCTACTGTATATACCCCTGGGAGACTGGCAATGGAAATTAAATTGTACATATTTTTTTCTCCTTACTTTTACTTGAATGGAATTAACTCATTTTAAACGAGCGCAGTACATTTTGAGATTGATTAAAAAAGATACGTAGGATTCAATTACACATTAAAATCGATGAAATAAACTAGATTAAGACATGTAACATTTACTTGGGGGCCGAATCATTTTTTCAGTGAATATTTGTGAGTTTGGAAAAATCAAGTATTGATCCAGCAACATTTTTGATAAGGATTATTGCAAATTGGTTATTTAAGAATTGAGAACAATGTCTTTCAGATGAATAGACTATACCATGCTATGACTGGCTTATACACATAATATATATATATATATATATATATATATATATATATATATATATATGTAACAGCTATCAAGGTATTGGTCATTTCTGTTTGAAGGCAAATGGTATCATAAGTGGAATTACATTTTAAATTTAGTGACGTCAGAGTGGAGACTTTTTGGAGGCGTTAGAAAGCTGCTACAGCCGAGACGCAAGGGGGCATGAGCGGAGACCACATATCCCACAATGCTCTGCCCCTCTGACGTCAGTGTTTTCTCTGTGGTCAGCTGATCCAGCTGAAGTCAGACGGAAATGTACAGCCTGTGCCTGTGGTACAGTAAAGCAAAGTAGCTTAGTGAGATGACAGCAGGCGCCCAGCTCTTCACTGGCTTCCATTGATCTGATATTGGTAATTGTATTGAATAGTTGACTGGAAGAATGATACGAATCATACACAGAAGCTATTAGCTTAAACGCTAACGCTAGTTAACTACAGCTTTGTAACTTGTGCAGCTAGCTAGTGAATGGCTATCTGAGACACTTGTGATGGTCTGGAGTTCTGTTTACTCACGAAGGAGAAGCTGAGATGGAAGACTACAATGAGGAGGACTTCATAGAAACACCTCTTCCTCTGGAGGTGAGTGACTGGGATTGTAATAGGTCGTAATCTTTAGATTTCAACATAATTTCGGTAATTGGGGTTTAAGAAACACATATGTATATATGTTATCAATAATAACTGTACTTTGTTTTATAATGTGTCTTGTAAAAGTCATCTTTCCCGCAAAAAGTACATTACAAGATTTGTTGATAATAAAATAATACAATTTATTTCGCATTTGATGAATATTGGAAACAAATATGAAACCACATTTTAAACCTGCCTGCTCTCTTCCTCCTCATGTTCTGATGAAAGAAGAAGAAGCAGGTCTCTAACACAAACTTCTAGAGAATCTCATAAATAAAAGAAACTACGTTCTTATGATAAACAGAAACCATATGTTTTTATAAATTTGACCACTTAACTCCCTTTCATGCCATAAAACATGTTTGCTGCAATTCCCGTCCTTTTGAAAAGACATAAGATGTGCTCTGTTGTACCCCGTGTTGTGTGTGTGTGTGTGTGTGTGTGTGTGTGTGTGTGTGTGTGTGTGTTACATCCCTAGAAAGCCCAGGATGCGCTTTTCACAGTACACTCAAATAACCTGCATGCAAGGTGTTTGAAGTAAAGGTCTCAGTGTCATGTCCTCTGTTGAGGACAACAATGAGTTCCCGGGTCTCAGGAGGTGTCAGTGACGGTCCTCTGCTGGTGGAGGAGGACTTGTAATGACAAACTGTTCATACTGTCAAAGGACAACATGTCCTTCAGTCATACAGTATTCTGTCAGGTGACCCTGGGGTGGATTTCTCTCTTCCAGGGTCTTCACTCTTTAATGTGATCTAATGCTGTATTTCTATCCCTTGCTGCAGATCATAGTTTACATCCTCAGCTTTCTTCACACTTCAGACAGGAAGGAAGCCTCGCTGGTCTCCCGCAGCTGGTACTATGCCAGTCAGGACCTGCACTTTCAGGTAATAATGCAGGATATACATCTTCATAATCTATACTTCATAAAGGAAGGATCTGCTTGAGTGTGCAAAGTGAACCCCATGCTACCTCTCTCTCTGTTCCTCTTTGTGCAGAAGAACGTCACCTTCTGCTTCCCGGCTTCATCCTCGTCCCTGGAGCTGATCAGGGGTCTGGGCGGAAAGTCACGCTGCAGTCTTATAATCAGCCAGCTTGACGGGTTCAGTATGTCCAGATCACTGCTTCTGGAGGTGCAGTATGCTACTACGATCAAAAACATTTCACTACTTGGGTTAGCAGGATTTCGGGTAGTTACTGTCTCATACATATTGATGTTCTCCGGTCTTTTCATAGCTGAAGATAAAAGCTAAGTAGATTAGTATTGACGACATGATTATAGCTAGATATTATTGTAAAATGTTCTAATTGTCAAAGCTTCAAGTTAAGAATATGTTAAACTGAATATACAGTGGGTACGGAAAGTATTCAGACCCCTTTAAATTTTTCATTGCAGCCATTTGCTAAAATCAAAAAAGTTCATTTTATTTCTCATTAATGTACACTCAGCACCCCATCTTGACAGAAAAAAACAGAAATGTAGAATTTTTTGCAAATTTATTAAAAAAGAGAAACTGAAATATCACATGGTCATAAGTATTCAGACCCTTTGCTGTGACACTCATATTTAACTCACATGCTGTCCATTTCTTCTGATCCTCCTTGAGATGGTTCTACTCCTTCATTGGAGTCCAGCTGTGTTTAATTAAACTGATTGGACTTGATTAGGAAAGGCACACACCTGTCTATATAAGACCTTACAGCTCACAGTGCATGTCAGAGCAAATGAGAATCATGAGGTCGAAGGAACTGCCCAAGGAGCTCAGAGACAGAATTGTGGCAAGGCACAGATCTGGCCAAGGTTACAAAATAATTTCTGCAGCACTCAAGGTTCCTAAGAGCACAGTGGCCTCCATAATCCTTAAATGGAAGAAGTTTGGGACGACCAGAACTCTTCCTAGACCTGGCCGTCCAGCCAAACTGAGCAATCGTGGAAGAAGAGCCTTGGTGAGAGAGGTAAAGAAGAACCCAAAGATCACTGTGGCTGAGCTCCAGAGATGCAGTAGGGAGATGGGAGAAAGTTCCACAAAGTCAACTATCACTGCAGCCCTCCACCAGTCGGGGCTTTATGGCAGAGTGGCCCGACGGAAGCCTCTCCTCAGTGCAAGACATATGAAAGCCTGCATAGAGTTTGCCAAAAAACACATGAAGGACTCCCAGACTATGAGAAATAAGATTCTCTGGTCTGATGAGACCAAGATTGAACTTTTTGGTGTTAATTCTAAGCGGTATGTGTGGAGAAAACCAGGCACTGCTCATCACCTGCCCAAAACAATCCCAACAGTGAAACATGGTGGTGGCAGCATCATGCTATGGGGGTGTTTTTCAGCTGCAGGGACAGGACGACTGGTTGCAATTGAAGGAAAGATGAATGCGGCCAAGTACAGAGATATCCTGGAAGAAAACCTCTTCCAAAGTGCTCTAGACCTCAGACTGGGCCGAAGGTTCACCTTCCAACAAGACAATGACCCTAAGCACACGGCTAAAATAACAAAGGAGTGGCTTCGGAACAACTCTGTGACCATTCTTGACTGGCCCAGCCAGAGCCCTGACCTAAACCCAATTGAGCATCTCTGGAGAGACCTGAAAATGGCTGTCCACCAACGTTCACCATCCAACCTGACAGAACTGGAGAGGATCTGCAAGGAAGAATGGCAGAGGATCCCCAAATCCAGGTGTGAAAAACTTGTTGCATCATTCCCAAGAAGACTCATGGCTGTACTAGCTCAAAAGGGTGCTTCTACTCAATACTGAGCAAAGGGTCTGAATACTTATGACCATGTGATATTTCAGTTTTTCTTTTTTAATAAATTTGCAAAAATTTCTACATTTGTTTTTTTCTGTCAAGATGGGGTGCTGAGTGTACATTAATGAGAAATAAAATGAACTTTTTTGATTTTAGCAAATGGCTGCAATGAAACAAAGAGTGAAAAATTTAAAGGGGTCTGAATACTTTCCGTACCCACTGTATATTAATCATTTTTCTGAAGCCCCCCTTATGAACCCAAAATACATCCCGCTTTGCGAAGCCAAACAAGACAAATTGGAAGCAGAAGTGGTATCTAATTGGGGAGCATTTTTGTGTTTTGTGTTTGCATCAGTCTTCCCTCTCTCCTGAAACAGTAGCATTTGTTGTAGACATGACATCGCTGCTGTCATGTGAGCTCTGATTTTACATTAGCGTTGTGATTTCACTTCAAATGATCACACGCTTCGTTGTGGGTCCCGAGATTTCCCCCACCTCGAGGGCTTGTGAAAGCCTTTTGAAGAAATCTGGGCAAACCCAAGTTGAGTGGATTTTATTCAACTTAGAAACACATTGCCTTCAGGTCTCTTCCCCCCGAAAGGCTAACATTGTAGTCAACCACAAACAAGAATTGTACATTGTGATGAGTATTTGCATGGCAGCACTCTTATCATTTGGATTTCCCGTCAAACTGACCAGCATATGGTACAGTCATAATTAGACACGTTGTGGTCCAAAGCTCAGAGCAGCTGCAGCTGTTACTGCAGAATTCACACTCATTGACCCTTATCACTCTATCAATGTGTGTGTGTGTGTGTGTGTGTGTGTGTGCACGCACGCACGCATGCGCTATCTCTTTTTATCTTCTTTGTTTTAGGTGGGTCTGAGTTTGGGCTCTAAGCTGGAGAGCTTGGCCCTGCCTGGTAGCAGTATAACAGAAGCCTCTCTGCTTGCCCTCCTGCCTCGCCTCACCTCCCTCCGCAGGCTGGACCTCAGGGGCCTGGACAGCCTCTTCATGTCTGGGGCTTTCCTCTCCAGGGAGGAGCACAGACACCAGGTACTATACATCATATATTATGTAACAGTGAGACGGCGGGCTGAGGTAGACCATTGTTTCAAAAACACCTGAGCTGATTATCTTGCAAACATGTCTTGATCATCCTAAAAAGTCCATTCCTCGAGCATAGTCTTTTATGAATATCTTTTGGTATACCTTGTTTGAACACTGGAGATGAAGTAATAATAAATAACACTTGCCGAAAGCCATTTTGGCTACTGAGACACTGCCAATGCAAAGAGCAAAGATTGTATGTACTCTGGCCTCAAAGTAAAAACACAGTAATTACACATTTGGTTAAATTGATTTTGGTGAGATGTTGCCTTACTTGCCTTGAGGGGACCCAAAGCTTTTAAGCAATGGTAAGATTATGATAAAGTAATGATGCTTTCCTAGTAATCGATCAGGCTAATGAAAAACTGTTACTAATATTGTACTGTAGTTTTTAAAAAGGAAGTAATGATAGCTATCGGTTTGGGGGCATTTGGTAAAGAAAGTGGTCAAAATGTAGATTCATATGAGCTTGTGATGTAACACTGATTCCTTAACTTTTTATGTAGCGGCCTGGCCTCAAGAACTGTTAATTATTTTGAGGACTTTTGAGGACTTTTTGTAAGTAAAGTGTCAACATCGGTTGTGTTATTTACACTCCTGTCTGCTGCATTTCCTCGAAGAATTGTTTTGTTCTAGATTTATTCTGTGTTGCATTGACGAGGTAGAAGCTAAATTATATCATGATGAAGAAAAAAACAGCTAAACTCCCGCTCAACCTGAGCAGAGAAACAGTAACTAACAAGTTAGCTTTAGACTCTAGTGGAATTCATGCAATTTGTTGTGGTTGAGCTACTTTTAAATCACATTATCACATCAAGTCTATTAAATTGTAAATAATATTAACAGTTGATAGATGGCGAGACACTTAGCGAGTAAGGTAATAGGTACAGTTAATTTCTTTGAATTGGCAGAGTGCAGTAAATCAGTTTTGGTTCTTTGTAGTAGCATTACAACCATTTAATGATTAATAAATGTAATCACGAGGGCGACTGGTATTGCAGCGGTTAAATGTAGCCTAACCTTTCATAATAATTGTGCACAGTAAATTTTTATGGTCATTGTGTTTGCACAACTTTATTGTTTTTCCACCTGTAGTAATGCTCGAAATTCCGGTCAAACTCCATCTTCTTGTTCCAGGTCGGGTCAGCTCTGTGTGGTCTGGAGGAGCTGGATCTGTCCGACCTGCGGTACCTCTCCGACCTCACCTTCAATCGGCTCACCGGCTGTACCCCGCGCCTCCGCCGCCTCTCGCTGGCCGGCTGCCACATCGCCTTCGAGTTCGACCCGTACCGAGGGTGCCCGGTGGGAGACGTTAAGGATTCCTCAGCATTGCTGTCACTGAGGAACTTGCGGAAGTTGTTAACAGAGCAGAAATCCACCCTCGTAGCTCTGGACCTCAGCAGAACCTCTATTACCCCCGAGTCACTACGCACTGTAGCACAGGTCAGGTTGCCTTTACTCCCTGCAACAGGTTCTGCATATCTCGGTACCTATGTGCTGGTTTATTCAGAGACAATACTTTATTTTGATCATGATTTTAGTGTGTCCTTTAACTTCTTTGAAGACATGAGTTTTACTTGCTTGTCCTCATAGAAAACACATATTGTAGGTCATTTTTTGATGTTTACTGTGTTTCAGGTTCAGGATTTGGTCTTAGAGGAACTGTGTCTGCACGGCTGTAAGGAGCTGACCGACTACTCAATGGAGATCCTGGTGAAGCACCAGCCGAGCCTCCAGAGACTGGACATCAGTGCCTGCACTGAGCTGACCAGCAGGTCTGTAGAGGCCATAGCTCGGGGCCTGAAGTCAATGGCGCACCTCTCCTTGTCCCGCGATTGGAGGATCACTGAAAAAGGTACAGATAGTATCATTTTTTGTTTTTGTGTGTATCATACGTATCGTATCATTGAAGGTTCATTTGTAAATATAGCAAAACTAAAAGTCTTAACGCTATGCTTAGTGGCCGTTAGAAGCCTGTGTTCATTACAACTTACAACATTAGAGCTGAATCAGTAGCTACTCTTAAGAGCTTTATCAAAACTAAATTTAAAACTAAATGCTGTATCCCGTTGGGAGCATGAAAGTGGTGAGTACATTTTACAGCAATTAACATGTTGAATTCTGAAATATTGTTGCACAAAGTTAACACGTTGTCCTGATGGTGCCACTGAAGAAAAACACATAGCGTCCACATTGAAAAGGGTTTATCCTCTGGGGAGCATGAATGTGTTCAGAAAAGCTTGATGAGATTTTGATATTTTTGTGTTCAAGTGAAAATGTTTGCCTTATGTTGGATCTATATAGGATATATCCTCTGGAGACCAATAATATCCACAAAATGAAAATTCTATTGATATAGGTGATAGTCGAGGGCAATATTTGACCGATGGTGGTGCTAGACGAAACGTCAGATGATCACTGTAATTCTGTAAATCCGTCAGTGGGCATAATGAAATCTTCATCATAAATGTTACACAATCTGGCCTTACCTGCTAAGAAAAACAAATTAAATGACATCACTGTACTGTATCAGCCCTGAACCTCGCAAGGCAAACGCTGACATAGAGTTGACGGGTTGGGACTAATCTATGTCATGAAATGTATATCATTAAAGCTTTCTTAAAGCAGGGGTGGGCTTTTCTCTGGCCAGGGGATGCAACCCGTGCCTCACACACCCACATGTCATCCACAGGCCTCGCTGACCTTTTGTCTACGTCGTCCCTGAGGAGTCTGGATCTGTCTGAGTGTCTGCATGTCAGTGGAACAGAGATAGTGAAAGGCTTGACGGGATCATGTGCTGCCAGAGCACAGCTGGAGACACTCAGCCTCAAGGGCTGCACCTACGTTAGGGTCAGTCAGTATTATGTGTGTTTACATGTGTGTCTGTGTGAAAAATACATGGAAAAGAACTTATCTTCTCCCTCCTCTCTTCAGGATCTTGCAGTTTTCTCTCTCACCCAGCTTCTAGGGGTCACTCTCCGTGAGCTCGACTTGACGTCATGTGTCAACGTGACGGACTTGTCTGTGCGCGCGATAGCCACATACCTGCAGAAGCTGGTAGTTCTGCGGCTCGGCTGGTGTAAAGAAGTCACAGACTGGGGTCTGCTCGGGATCGTGGAAACAACCAAATGTGAGCCTGACCAGGAGACGGTGAGAACCATAGACACGCGAAGGCAGTCAGAGAAGTTTACAGTACCTGTGCCTTTTTGTTGTAAAGTAATAAAAGTCTCATTCAACAGGGAGACAAGGGTCCCAGGTTCACCCGGACCTTTGGCAACATGGGCTTCTTCAAGCCTCCACGTTTGCCGTTTGAGGAGCGACCCAAGCTGGTGACACAGAATGACCTGCAGCAGTTCCAACAGCAGGCTGGAGCTTCACTTTTAGCTCTCAACGGGCTGCAGGAGCTGGACCTCTCTGCCTGCCCCAAACTCACTGACAGCAGTATCACACAGGTAGGAGGCTGAGGAGAGGCAAAAGTTCATTTTGCCGCAGGAATGCAGAATATTAAAGAATACAAATAAATACTGTGGATTTAATACTGTATCTCACCTCTTCAGGTGGTGCATTACCCAGACCTTCGCCGTCTGTCTCTCTCCATGCTGCCGGAGATCTCCGACGCCAGCTTGGCGTCGGTAGCTTGGCACTGCCGCAGCCTCACCAGCCTGGCACTCAGCCACTGCCCGGGTATCAGTGACCGTGGAGTGGCCCAAGCTGCGCCGTACCTACACCGGCTGCAGCATCTCTACCTCTCCTGTTGTAATAACATCACTGACAGGTGAGTAGCACACAGCTCCACGGCCACTGTATCTGCTGCCCCAGATTTGAAGATACATTCCTGAATTTGTGACCTTTTGAACCCCCCGCAGATCTTTGCTCCTCCTGGTGCAGCACTGTAACCGCCTGCAAACACTCGACATCTCAAGGTGCAAAAACATATCCGTAACAACTGTGGACCTCCTTCAATCTCAGCTGCCCTTCTTGGAAAATGTCCACTACAAATGTATAGGTGGGGCTGATCCGACCCTTACACTCTGATGTCCACTGCTGGATCACTGCTGGTCCTCTTCAATAGCTAAACCTTCTAACTCTGTGAGTTGGGCTCTTTCACAGTTCAGCAATTTGCACAAAAACTGAAGAAATGTTGAAACAGCGGGAGCAACCTATCACCTATACGTCATCCTGTAAGGGATTTAAGAAGTGTCTTCAGTGCGAGACAGATGCCACTTGTATGAAACTAATGTGGAAGCACTTCTGCCTGTATGGTAAACATGTCATGTTTGTTTATGCTTGGACTCAAACAAAAAGGCAGGGCAGACAACAATGTAACTGACTGAAAAAACATGCACCCTTACTAATACTAATATTCAAAGATCATCAACTGTTTGGACCAAGTGGGAAAACGTTTGAATGTAATGTTGATGTTCAGTTTTATGTGGTGCATCATCACGGAGGGCACAGATTTAATCTAAAGTATGTGCACAATTATCTGTTGAAACCAAAAGAAAAGAAGGAAATAGCACCACAGTATCTCATTATAGAGAGAACGTGAATTGTCTTGTACATTTGTTTTTGTGAGGCAGATGTCGCCCAAACAGACTTTGCGCATTGTTTTAGTTGTCTTGAAGTAACAGGGTGCTTTTATCTACGCTGAAAGGTAAACAGTAAAATACTTCCATAGCAAAGACGCTGTCCCATCAAAAGTACTTTTTAAAATCGTATATAATAATGCAATTATGTATTTAATCATTTCTGACTGTGACTAAAATTGAAAAATAAGCTGCTGATTTTCTCACGTTTTCTTGCTTAACATAATTATGCAAATGTATATTCTGTGCAGTAAAGGAAGGTAAGCACATCCTGACAGTACTTTTGATTATTTGTTTTAACAATGACAGCTCTGTGTTGCTAAAGTAGAAGTAAAGATGGGTATGAAGAGAAATAGTTGAATCTCATGTAGTTGTTAACCTGTTGCTTGGATTTAGTTCAAATTTGCACAAATATTTGCCCTGTGTTATCTGATGATATATATGATGGTATGCTGGTCACATTTATTAAGGAACTTTTACAAAAACAATAAAGGTGGTGCAGTAAAGCAAAATGTGTAAAGCGAGGAGAAAATTGATTTTTAAAGTTTATGTAACAAAGTATACAAAAGTATAACACCATTAAACCCGATGGAGAACAATATTTCAAATTGAATCTCTTACAATGTTTAAACTAGACACTCCAAGCGCCACTAAAATAGATATGGTCACTATTTTTAAAGATTTTGAACAGATTTTTGTAATTCTTTAGTTCTCATTTACATACTCCATACATCCTCTATTTAATTTCCTGCAACTTATAGAACTATACTATATTAAAATAAATAATAAATATGACACATATGCCATTCCAACTTCCATACCTATATTTATATCTTTGGCAAGACTGACTCCATACTGAGACACTTCATATTGGTTTTAAAATCCTTTGAGTTCTAAGCAATATTTCCTATTTTTGGTCCGCCTGGTCTCCTTCTGTAATAATTCATGTATAATCTCAACACTGTTATGCACAATCATGTTAATTACATCTCTTTGTCAATGAAATAGCTGTTTCATTGATTAGTTGTGTTTTACAGATTATAGCCCACCTAGTCCTTTTACCAAATACTAATGGGACATTAATACAACCTATACAATTCTGATTCCACTTGCCAAAAAGTGATTACAGCTCCTACCTTGTCACTGAAAATGTCTCAAAATGACCCGATTTCCTTAATGAGGCTGAAATTTGACAAATGTTTGCCCACCACATCCTCTTTACCTGCTGACTTGAGAAACGTTGAGGATGAAAGGCACAGATTGTTATAAAACCTCGGCTGCTGTGCCATGAGCAAAACACACACATGCTTGTTTGTTTTTTTTTGGCAGTATAAATCAAACTGTTTATTGTCAAAGTGTGTGATTCAAAGTGGACATTATCAGATAGTTGCGTATCAGGAATGCACTGCAGAGGACACGCGAGACTTTGCTTAAATGAAGTAACCCTGTGACAAAAGCACACCACGTGATGTCTTGTCGACCTGTGTCAGTTATAGCTGCTTTGAGTGTCACCATTGAGTGCTTTGTGAGTCAGAGTGTAGCAAACTGACTGAGCAGGCTGCCTCCATCATATTAGCATCAGCATCATCAAATCGTACATTGAATAAAATCAATCAGTTTCAGGATCACTGATCGCATACTGTGTCATATAGATATACAGGGATGATTGCTAGTTCAGAACACATGTCACAATTTGTTCTTATTATAAAACTGTTGATTATTGTTAAAAACTAAAGCCAAAAACAAAAGGTCGGCTTGGTACCTAGTGTAGATCTGCATCACTATAATAGAATAAAAAGTCGTACAGAGCATCTCTGCTCAATAGTAATCATGTTGCGCCTCTGGGATCCGTACCAGGGTCAGTACCTATATTAAGTATATTTAAGCTAAATACTGTCCAACATGAAACATGATACTGTATTTGTCTTGTGCTGGAAATAAATGACATGTACCATATCTTTAGAAAACACTGTTCTAGCTAGTGCCCATTGAAAAAAAGAAAAAAAAAAGAAAATACAAGAATTTAACAAATGAGCACAACTTGCATTTGAGACAAAGATTAAAGCATCTATTGCCTCGACCAGTAAAAACCAACCTCGCACACATGGGTATATTCAATGTATCACACATAGTTCAGTTAAGATAGATTCAGAATTATAAAATGATGATTACAAATCAAAATAAATCTGTGTTATAGGAATAAGTTCATGGATGCACAGGTCAGATCTCAACACTCACGCACCACTTATTTCAGACACACACATACACATATATATATTTACACATACACACGTGCACTACAGCGAATGCACACGCTCTACTGCTCAGTCTGGCTGAAGTCGTAGCAGAAGTTGTAGTTGCTAGGCGGTTTGGGGACGACCGGTGCACTGTCGGGGATGGGAACGTTCTCGAGGTCCAGGAGGCGGAGCTTAATCTCCATAGAGAGCAGGATCTCCAGCTCACTGCGCATGGATTCACTACTCATCTCCCGGCCCAGGAGAACGCTCAGTCCATCTGTCCACAGGCAGAACTGACAGAGAGAGGGAGAGCCAGTGAGTATACTGTTCATATTAATTAATCTACATTATAATGCACACAGAAGAGAGGACATTTCAGAGACTCACATCTGTTCTGGAGGGGGCGACGAAGTTCAGGCTGTCCTCTTCTACGTCGTATGTGATGCTAAATGCCAGGTCCAGCACCTCCTGCAGCGAGGGACGCACAAACAAACAGTGAGATGCGAGCGTAATGAGCAGGAGCATATGAGACGAGGAGTGCTGCTGACCTTGTTCTGTTTGCCCTTGTTGTCCTTCATGTGAGGACAGTCTTTTCCCGTCAGCAAGCCTTTGATATCTGCTACTGGGACTGAACGAGCAGGAAAATAGAGAGAAAAAGAGTGATGAACAGAGAAGGCAAACTCAAATATATAAATCGGGGCTCCTGATAACTTATCATCTAAATACAGAAAAGTTGTAAATCTTTACATATGCAAAGCCACAGGAGGAAAGCTTCAACTCACTCTTCTTCTGCAGCGTTTCAATGGTGGGACTGTCAGTGTCTTCCTCCACATCACCGTAGTGAAGCATTTTGTGATTGGGGGACAAACGGCAGTACCACAATTTATCTGAGAAAAACAGACAGCGATGTTACAAGAACAAGTTGACTGTTTTTTTTAAGGGTCTGTGTGTGTGCGCGCTTTCTCACCCTGTCTGCGTCGGCTGCTAATCTTCCTGAACATTGTTCCTTGACACAGCCTGTTGAGTCTCTGCTGGCGGATCAACTCAAGCAGCTCTGGCTTCAGGCGCTCTTTGAGCTCACTGGAAAGACACACACACACACACACACACACACACACACACACACACACACACAACAAAATGCTTCGTCACATGCTATTAGCATCCTCTCAAATGACAAGAATTTGAACCCATTGATTGTCATTTTTCTCTCGGACCACGGAGCCAAAATAGCTGCAAGAAATCCGCATAAGACACAAAGCCTGTATCAGAAGACCATTGACATCAAAATACACAATGGCAGACCTAACCTGACATTTTCTGCCATGCAGCTGAAACAACGCATAAAAAAAAAAAAAAAAAAAAAAAAAAAAAAAAAAAAAAAAAAAAAAAAAAGAAGCTGCACATGTAAATGGTTTCATCAGAGGCTGGTATCAGATCTTTAGACATCCTGCTACTCACAGTACAGGTGGAGCAAGTGTCTCTTCTTGGTGCAGCCGCTCTGTCTGCCGCAGCTTGAGGATCTCGCTGTAGTTGAGGGCATTGACTTTGTTCTTGAAGAGCTCCAGGGAGGTTGGCTTACTGGACAGCGTCCTGGTGATCTGCTCCCTCACCACCTGCATCACCTGGGGATGGAGACATGGAGACGGAGAGAGGTTAGACACTGTGCAGTCACGTGTCGGCTGGATGACTGCGTACTGCCTCCTTTGACAGCTGGGAGGGATGAGTGATAAGTGCAGGCCTTGGGAAGCCATTTTTAGTTTTGTTTACTTGATTTGTAATCATATGGACTGTGTTCTATGCAGCTCTCCCCCAAAAACAACTTCCTTGTTTTAGAGATTCCTTTGGGTTGTAGTGGCCTTCAAAAAGAGAGCTTCTGTATGACGTTAAGTGAGATAGACATAACTTGTCCACATCATCAGAAGTCAGCAGCAGAAAGGAGCAATGTATAAATTCAGACGATGAGGCCATCATTTGTATTCCTCTGTTTTTTTAATTTCAATTTGATTGTCTTGCCTTTTTTTGTGGTTTGCTCTCGACACAGACTAGTTTGCAGAATTTGTGACAAAATATTCAACGTCAAAGTTCCACTTACTATCTTTTTCAGAGCTTTCAACCACAAGTCACAATCTTCATCACCAGGCATTCATTGATGAAGACACTGTTTGCATGGCCAAGAATTAACTTCCATGCTGAAGTTTGCAGAAGTTCCGGTGAACTTCTGCTTTGTGTGAAGCCATGTTACACAAAACAAACATGTACAGCAAGGACAAAGTAGTGACCAAGAAATTAAGAATTTCCCTCCTACCAACCAAATCACATCAACACAGGGAAGGCCTACTACACTTTTGAGTATTTTATATAAGACATTTTGGGTGACAATATAAAAGCCCCTAACTATTACCTTTAAAACCCACTTCAGGAAGTTTCCTGTTATATTTGGTTTTAACTTAAGAAACAAGTTTATAAATTCCCCCAGATTAAAATGCTGTAGCACTGGCTCAGCATTTGCTATACCCATGTGATTGTGTGTGTGTGTGTGTGTGTGTGTGTGTGTGTGTGTTTATTCTGCATGACTTGTTAATAAACTGAAGCTCACACAGAGGGACAGGGGTTGACGCCAGGTACCCTGAAACAAGAGCTTAGGGCAGTCGGTCAAACAGTGGATATGTGGAAAATCTCTATCTACCTTCAGTATATATCAGTTGTAAATAGTGGAGCGTCTATATAGAAATCTATAGCGCCCCAGAGAATAAGCTGACTCCAGCACTATCTGTCCCGATCTCGCTTTATCTGACACACACACACACACACACACACACTCTGCTGACCTACATCATTCCTGTTCACACCCAATTCGACGGATTGTGATCAATTAGTGACTAAAGTGTAAATTGACCCATTCACTGCAGCACTGTCCAGACTTCTCTCCACACGGCATGTCCCATTACACAAATAACCGTTTGCTACAACAAAGCATTCGGTTACAAGCAATGCACAAACATTTAATCAAAAGCCACAGCAGAAATGGCAAGAGATATCTGGTGGCGCTTATTAAACATCTGACACAAGCTTTAATGTGACCGAGCTGTTCACAACCACAGAGAATGAGCGAGTCTGTCCGTCTGGCAGCAGATGGTGGAATCCAGACTGTCATTTTATATTGTGTGAACACGCAGGGACACAAAACAAGCGGCTAGAGTTTCACCCTGTAACTCTCCGCTCAAGCCCCCCTGAGCCAAAATAACCTCACTGTCCAACAACTTTCACATGACACAAACCTGAGACAGCTGCTTCACACTGTTGTGTCATCTGAACTCTCATGCTGTGAATCAGTTCTGCTGTTAAGTCTCACCTGTTCAGCCTCGGAGTATGGATGAGAAATTGCACTGGGAACATTTGATATTGACTTCCCAGTTAAATCATCTTGCTTGGCTCATTCCAACCAGGAAACAATACTTAAAAACCACCTTACCTCCATCTTTCTTCCTTCAGTGCGGACTGTATTTCAATCCCAACTTCGAATTGCACCCGTCGTCAACGATCAGAGAAATGTGACGGGGATGACGAGCGGTGACGGTGAGGGAGAGAGACAGAGATCATCTACATGACAGGAGAGGTGCAGGCCTCCCAGTGTGGGTGTTTTGTAAACACCCTGATACTGTCACACACATGCACAAACGCACCTCCTACCCACATCCCCCCGCCCAGCCACTCGGCCATTTAGCTCAACTGGCCAATAGGAGCGACGATGGCCGCCGTCTCCGTTCCCTGAAACCCTGCAGCATATGCATGCATGCCAAATGTTTGTGTGTGTGTCTGTGTGGAGGATGACCGTTATCACAGGGGGTGTAATACATTCTTGTGATTGAACTGAAGGATTGTGCGTTTGTTTGTGGCACAGTCTCACTCACACCAACACCAATACTTCCAATTAACTCACTAGGTAACGAAACCTAAATTTGTGATATTACATATACCACCACTCCTCCTCCACTCTGCTCCCTCCAGTCCAACCCTCTCATTCTCCCCCCCTCACATTGTTTCCAGAAGTTTTACGTTCCCTCTGTTGTTGAGTAATTACTGCTCATGCCCCGAGCGCTTTGTTTTTCTCGTTTCCTGCTCCCTTTGTTTCTGCCGCCCACCACGCTTCTCTTTGTCCACCTAATGCCCCTTTGTCCTTGCCCCAAAGCACCCTGGGTAGGGGGCCGTGGTCAAAAACAAAAGGCCGGTCGGCTGGGTTGGCGCTCAGCACACTGGCCCGCTCCCGACAGGTCAAAGGGTCACAGGGTTTTATGGCTATCAGGAGAGCACTGTTGATGCCTTCTGTTGTGTGTGATGTTGAAATGCGGTTCAGGACAAAAGCTCCACCACTCTCCTTTTCAGGGCGGCTGGATTCTCAATATTTCTCCCAGACAAGACCCCGATGCTGAAGGCTTGGCTCAATCCATCGCCATCGTACAAGTACTGCATTGTGGTTGTAAGGTCACTGTGTGCTCCTAAATGCAGGGTCAACTCTGTATGGGCAGGATTTGGGGATGGTTAGCATAAGAATGCCCCTATACAAAGCCACAAAGGTACAAACTTACACAAATAAATAGTGTGATTGATGTTGTTTTACTGAGAGTTACGCGAGAAGATCACTACCACTCTCATGGTTCTTTGTTAAAATATGAAGATTGAGCCAGCAGCCAGTTAGCTTAGCTTAGCGCAAAGACTGGACACAAGGAGACAGCTAGCCTGGCTCTGTGTAAAAGGTCAGAGACTTAGTAATGCTAAGCTAAGCTAACCAGCTGCTGGCTCAAGCTTCATATTTACCATACAAATAATGAGAACAGTATTGCTCTTTTCATCAAACTCTAAATGCATTTCCCGAAAGGTTGAACCATTGTTTTGAAGTGAAAAGAAAGCCGGTTAAGTTTGAAGCTAGAACTGCCTGGTCAAAATCTCACTGCATGGCACCATTTCTCTTGCTCGCCCTACGAAGACAAACATGCCATGCTATTGTACCTTGTCAAAGTCCTCCTGTGTGGCTCTCATCTCCTTCCAGGTCTTGTTGATCAGCTGAATGCAGACACAGAAAAGCTCCTCCATCAGCCGATCCTGACTGAAGAAGATGGGGTGGTAGGCACATCCCGTCTCTGAGGCTGTTCACAAAGAAAAGGGACAGATAAGACGGAGAACAAAAGCAAAAACAATACAAGATTGTCAGCTGTAGAGCCGGTTTGACGAGAGGGTTACAGTCATGGCACTAACACTGTAGACTGGAGGGCAACTTACGGGGCTCGCCGATGCGAAGGATTTCACACAGGATGAGTGTGAGCTGGATGCTGCTCCTGGCAAACGGACACTCGTGTTTGTCTTCCCTGCTGCTGTTCTCCAGGATAAACTGGGAGACAATTGAACATTTTATTGTTAACGTAACAAATTCAGTTTTAGCTGGTCACAGTGTGAAGCCTCTGTCGTAGAACTCGCACAGAAACAACAGTTACATAACATTTGTTCTTTTCATTATGTATTAAGACAACTGAAACATGAGATCAGGTAGTTAAAATGAGAAATGCTTTCTTGTGCCATATCATTATAAATGGGGAGCTTATTAAACGGTTAAATTACAAGCAGATAAATAATGCTCACCCTGCTGTAGGCATCAGGGTAGCGTGCAGCAAAAGAAAACATGGTGTCCAAAGCAAGAAGACCAGGAGGCGTTCGCACCAAGTCCTGACCAGGGTTACTATTGTTCTAAAATGATTAAAAAAAGAATCAACATTAATCACAGTGATATGAAGATGAAAAGTACTTTAACCAGGAGCTTTGATAACAATGAAAGTGAATAGATACAGAACAGAATAACTTCTGACAGCAGTCACTCACAGAGAAGCCTAACTTCTTGAACTCTTTGGCGCAGAGCGAGCGTCGTCTCTCGTTGCTCAGACTGTTCTCGGTCTCGGTCTCAAATGCTGTCTGCCGCAAGCCGTGAAGGATATCTCTCTGCTCCTGCAGGGGGAGAGGCAGATAAACCATGGATGTGTACTTTCCAGAGATGGACGCTGAGTGCACATCTCTGTGTAGTCACTGTCATGCACGCGCTCTTCATCTGGTGTTTCTGACCATTAAAACTAAGAATGTTACGCATTTTGTCTATAATTTATTAAACTCCTGATGTTGGAGCTCACCTGGCTGTAACAGTCCATAGGAGTCCTCATGCGGGCCTCCAGGTGATTTAAGGTAACAGACTGTAGGACATAGAGGTAGTGGGCCATCTCGTCCTGGACTGAACCAGAACTATGGATGATGTTCTGCAACAAGTACACACATTTCTTCAACAGGCCAGAGATGTTGCTTTGCTGACATTCCTCTGCACAACAATGAGGTCATCTTTCATCATGTTATACAGAAAACTATGTGAAATGTAAATAAAGAGATAATTTACTTTATAAATGTACTGCCGGAGATTCCTCTTATTCATGAATGCAAAAATATCCTGGAAAACAGAAGACAAGGGAGCAAAGTGAGCATGACGACAACAACGCGTTACTGGGGTGCAGTGACGTGTTTCTAACAAGGGGTGGCGACATAGTGTCAGTTGCGGATTAGTGGGTGGGGACAAGGGTTAGTGTGTGGACTTTGACCTCAGTGACAAAAGCATCACTTGCTGGTACACCCATCTCTAGCCCGGCCTCGTTTTGCTCAGGGCTTACTTGAGAAGCTGATAAGAAGGGTGGATTTGTTGACTCACTGTTAAAAGTGAGGAAGTGTGAGTCTGTGTGTCGGTAACAAAGAGAGTCTGAGCAGAAAGGGAGACGGAGGGCTGAATGAGGGAACTGTTTCCGTACAATGAGAGAGGACCAGGAACTGAACAGTGGGAGAGAAAGCCTCAACTTTGTGTCGAAGAGCTCAGATGACCAGACAGAATGAGATGGATGGGTCCTTTCCAGCTGTCCGTAAGAAGTGACGTCAGCAGGATTCTGACTCGCATGTACAATAATGGCCTGAACATGCATGACACTTTCAGCCTTGGATACAGAAGCTTCCCATCACTACACGAATGCGACATAGTAAAGAGTAATGATGACTGAACGTAACAAAACCATCAGCTGAGTTAAAATATGCTCAGTGCATACCGATTAACAGCTGCAGGCGCCACTGTCTGGAAGCTGAAACTGACTAAATGCCTACTTGTCTGCATGCTTGGAAGCTTTACTGGCTATGAGAAGAGGAAGTGGATGAAAGTGCGTTAGAAAGTAAGCAGCAGACTGCAGCAGGACCTGTCTGTCTGAGTCCCCGGCTGTTTGTAGTAGTGCCATAAGTAGAGCCATAGCTTTGGTCTGTATCTGCTGGTTCGTCCTGAAAGTGGTCAGAGGAGAAGAAAAGCGAAAGTGAGACAAACGTATGATTTAGACGCTCCACTGCGGCACGAAAAGGTGCGCTTAGTAAGGAAAACAGGTTGAGATCAAAGGATGTTTCAAAAGTTTCAATTCTCACATCAATACATTCAGTATCAACTGTACTAACTGTGAAATTCTGGTGTGAGAAATGGCAGAGACAATGGTATTGTCTGCACAATTTGTTTTTTTTCCATATTTAAAAACTTCCTGTTCCAGAGAGCAGGCTGCCGCTTCACTGCATCACAGATTTGTAACTCTTTCTCTTTGCTGAACAGTAGATACTGAACATTTTTTTTCCATCTGTCTTTAGTTTCTCCCACTATCTGCCACTGAAAGTGGTTTGGTTTTTCGGCCAATGCGTTCCGCCTCTTGTTCTCCAAACAGTGTACCTGCATGCGACCAAAAGCCCGCTCCAAAGTGATTGGTCAATTCTACTTGTACAACAAATAGTCAAGACTACAAATGGAAACCTGATCGCTTACATTACTGAAATCTTTTACCTGTTGCCTCCAGATTTTATGTCTAAGAACCAACGTTATAGCTTTAATCAAAATAAAAGCTGGAACACGTAACACATTTGTAAAGAGGAAATATTCGTATATATCCAGCAGGTTTGGCTGCATTTATTCAAGGTTTCATTTAAATTATGATCGGCTTCTAAGAGTCAGACCGTATCTTACTTACACCTGGAGGTGAGCGATGAGCCGCTCCATCGTGACTTCCTGTTTGACCTGCAGGAAGAGGCCGTGGCTGCTCTGCACCATGCTCTCTAGGATGGCCAAGGACACCTGCTGTATTGATGCGTCGGTCAGCTTGGCGTTGACAAAGCTAGCAATCTGACAGAACCGGAAAAAAAAGGAAGGGAAGGAGAGAAGGAAGACAGAAGGTAGGAAGAGTAAGAAAGAGTGCAGCTACAATCAAGGAAAAACAAATCAGCGACAAAACAACAGACAGAGAGCACAAGATACAGCACCTTCTTGATGAAGACAGATGACAGGTTCTCCCATGAAACTATCCCATGATCCATCAGTTCCATGAAGCCAGTCAGCGTGTGGGTCATTATCACATTGCCCCTGAATGACGCAGACAGACACACAAAGAAATATTATGCACTCAGACACTTACACTCGCAAAACGCTTTCAGATGGACTGCTTGCGTGGAATCTTTGTATTTATCACAATGCAATCAAAAACATTTCCATCATGTGACAGAGCACCTCAGGATGCAGCTCACTGTGCTGCCTCTAAATGCTACAGTGGAGTTTGTCAAGTGTTTGATATGATCATGGAAACTGCTCAAAAATGTAAAACCAATAGGCTTTAACCGAAATTGGAAGAGAGAGTCTGGAACAAATTAGGAGGAAACACTTCTTTCTGCAGAATACAGTCTATACATGTTGAGCTCAACAAGATATGCTGCAACATGTGCAAGAACCACTGATATCTATCTGAGGAACAACATTCTACCCCCTGCCATTGGAGAAATGAAAGCACACACACACACACACACACACACACACACACACACACACACACACAGATTACTAACTCGTTAGCATCCTCTACTATTTTGACCAATAAGAGATGTCCGTCTCGACTGATGAACTCCTGAGCGAAGGTCACGTCTGTGGAAACGCTCGCCAGTTCCTTCAGCGAATCGCAGCGCACGCCCGAGTCCGAGCTCTGGATGCCCTTGTACAGGTCTTCTGCACAGCGGCCCTGCGTTCACCAGCATCAACAAAACACATGTTCATGCACACCATACTCAACAATTGTGTCCTTGTCTAGTTACTCATATCATAATGTTGCACTTCTTTGAAACTCAGCTACTTGTCATAGTAACAGAATATTGACTTATTCTATTAACTGTTCGTGCAGCTGATTCTGTACATTTTCTGCGTGCAGTGTGTGTAGATGACAGTGAAGAGCCAGTGACAGTGAGAGACAGAGGGGCGTGAGGAGGAATGTGAGAGGAGGGAGGTGAAAGAGTGGCTGAGAGCCTGGTTGACGCAGACTCACCGGTGCCTTGGTCAGACGCAGAATGCAGCCGTTCTTAATGTCCAGACGATTCTACACACACACACACACACACACACACACACACACACACACACACACATGCATGCACAGGAAAGAGTATTTAAAAGCTGTTGAAAAATAAACTCTGGCATGTGCAGTGACACAAACACTGCAAGGTAGTGAAAGTCAGACACGCATGGATACAAATAAAACTAGCCACACACAGACATATAAACAGAACAAAGACCTATACACACAGTAGCCCATACAGAGAGCCACACTTGGATAAATATAGTATGCAGAAATAGCACCAGTAATTAGTACTGACACTTAGTACTGTTTAGCTTAAAACTGTTGTGTGTGTGTGTGTGTGTGAGCTGCAGAAAGATAACCAGCTGTGTTAGCAGAGGAACTGATGCGATTGGCCCGCTGATCCAGCATTCCTTTTAATAACAATGCATTTATCCTACTTTACCCTTATTATAAGAGTTTATCTAACACGGACAATACAGATCGCTACATAGGTAAAGGACAGACAAGAGACGAGACGTAATGCGTTTAGTGCGTCTAGCTGAAGCAATTTTCACCCCCGTCCGTGGCTGGAAGGGTTTAGAGACAGGCTGCAACATGAAAGGCACATTTTGAATACACAATAAAGAAAACATCTTTTTCTCTGCATCTATCTGACGGCATTGTGATGTCTTCTGCAGGCCGGCCTTCAGCCCAAAGAGGGGGAGGGCCTTCAGTGGCAACCTTTTCAAAAAGGTCACTTGGCACCAAGATGCCCGGTGTACGTCCAGCTGCTTTCCTCTGCCCCTCTCCCATGATGACGTTGTGTGACGTGGGACTAGTTCTGGGTCAAGTCATTTTATGTACTTCTGGACTGGAGAGAAATGCTCACAGAAGCGGACAGAAGTGCTCACAAGAATGTGATTCCCAGATTCATTGCAGTGCTCCGACAACTCGAACAGAGATTTACAACATTTCTCGTCTTCAACGTAGAAACATCTGAAGCCTCAGATCTGCTGCTCAACGTCTTCACGCTGCGCTCAAACCTTCACCAGGCCGACTCCCCGGTGTAGATGAATATTTGTATTGATTCGTACGTACAGTTGATGTGACTCACCGATTCAGTGATGTACGTCTGCACTCCATCCGCGTACTGCAGAGCATGGTTGTCAGGACCTGGGAGATTCCAGCTATACACACACACACACACACACACACACACACACACACACACGTTGATATTACGTAACTATCGCAGTAATATATACAGTTCAATGATAATGATATCAAACATTACCACAAAGACAGTGGTGAGGCAGCATTAACTTACCCATCACACACTTCCTTTATTACAGCAGACAGAGGTTTTTTCTGTACAAAGACAACAAAAACAGCATGTAGTCAGATACATACCAACGCAAACACATTCACGCAACATAAAAAAAGACTCACACCTGCTGCATACATGTGGGTGGTAACCACAGGTTATAGACTATCACAGTATTTTTTCTGTCAGGGAGCTGAATACACGCTTCAGCACTGACGTGATGGGATCACGGGACCACAACTATTCTCGCTGGCTGCAAACCTCGACTGCTGAGAAGAGGAAACCTAAGAGCTCCCCAACACTTTCCGAACTATGTTACCCTCGGTGCCCAGATCCCTCTGTGAAAGTAAATAAAAGCCAGACTACTTCCATGTCTGGCTCTCAGCTATCCTGCCATTAGTGGTCAGTCCCGCGGTCAACCAATCAAAATGTCTCAGGGTTCTGCGGTAGACCCAGCGGCTCCTCTGTTATTAGTGGCAGCCAAGAAGGTCAACCAATCAAAATGTGTTTCGTGAAGACGGCTGGGCCAATGAGAAAACGTTGGGGGATTCTTCTGGGCCCATAATATTTGGTTGTGAACCAAATCAACACTTTTGAATGTGTAATTGTTGTGCTGCTGTTAGGATTATTACAACAAAAAATAACAGAAATATCGTTGAAGGTATCGGGGCTTGAAAAAGTGTGTCAACCTGGGATCTGTGTTCTTTCCAGTTTCAGTTGTGTTGCATTTTCCAGCTGTTCCAGTGAGTACCTGTTAAATCCATTCTCACTCGGTTCAAACCTCCTCAAGTGATGTAGAGCGTGCGATTGTGAGAGACACACCCCTGCTGTCTGGGATACAGTTCAAACTACTACTCATGCTTACAGTCACGTACAAAGAAGTGCAACTTCCCCATAGCTTCTGAGAAACAACATGGAAAACTCCGACAATGTCATCTAGTAACAGCCGAGAAAACAAAACCAGCGGATGTGCATGAAGCCCCAAAGTGTTCAATATCATATAATCAGAGGCAACAATATAAATATAAACGGGGGTGTGTGATGAATCAAACATTCGATAACCTCCCGCGTTACCGATAGCTTCAAAATAATTGAAGAAATGATCAAAAATCAAATCGTTAATTAAGTCGGAGCCTAACGACGCTACTCATGCTGCTGTACTCATGAGAAGCTAACAGGCTAAATCGGGTCGCAGTTGTTGAGCTGGCTTGTTTGAGAGGAAGGTGGCCTGTGATTGGCAGAAAATTAAGGAACCTGGTGACATCACCACTGTCATGAAAAAGTGACGTTATAAAATAAAAATGGATTTGAATAAAAAAATGATTTCACATTTCAAATGTGAAATAACAAAAGGAAGTCTTGTAATACTCTGCACAGTTCAGTGCTATTTATATTATAACAACTTGTTTATCTAATATTGAACCACAGTTTGAGATGTAAAAAGCAGAAAGGACAGTGACTGAAAAGAAAATGTTAAAACTACCAGTCAATGACATCACAGACGATTATTATATTCACCAGACGACTGAGGCCATTTTTAATATGCCATGCTGCAGCACAAACCACGCTGGTGAGGAAGTGGAGATAATAACCCTCTGACCACAGCCACCCAAAAGTCGCACCGAGATCATCTTCTTTGTCTTTCTGTTTCCACTGTTCCAATGATCTTCTTCATACACATTGTGATACTATTGATCAAATCACAGAACCATCTCAGAAAGAAGAAAAAGATTTGTTCAGATAAAAAGGTCCGAAAAACCAATTCTGCCAAGCATTGTCTGAATTTGGTCGACGCCTCTGTTTCTTCTAAAACAATGATTCATTCATTGTTTTAGTGCTAGTGCATATGTGCAGTTTGGTTATAATAGCTTCAACATAAAAAAAACTAATTTGAGGTCACATTAGTGTATTTGCTACACATGCATGAGTCAAGGTTCATGTGTGTGTGTGTGTGTGTGTGCGTGTGTGTGTGTGTGTGTGTGTGTTACCTGGTCCAGTTGTATGAGCTGGGGGTAGGCCCCAGGCATCTGGATGGCTATCTTCACTATGTCCTTCTGTTGAGGCATGTTGGCACCTCTTACCTCCACCACTCTCTAGCTGTTGATAATAAAAGAGATGAAAGCGTCAAAATGAAGTGCCTCATCACGTTTTATACATAATATACTCACTACTACCGGCAACCTGTAAAAAAAAATACAATATATTTCACAGTGACCTCATTGTTCACAAGAACGTGAACATTGATCATTTCATAAAGATACAAAAATGACTACAATTCATGGATTTCAATGACTCTTCTCGTGGGCTATTGCTGTTGTGTCAAACGGATTATGAATTCAGTGATTTTAAAAAGTGATCAGGTAACAGCTAACCAGCCCGAGAGCAGTCTCTCTGTGAAGTGGACCAAAGAGTGCCGTCAGTCGTCTCACAAATGGTCGATGCAACTATCATTTTCACTATGAGGTCGTACGGAACTGTGTTCCTCTTTCACTGTGCAATGAGTACAGCTGAATACTGTCTGAACACGCACTATGGATTGTTCACCTCTCTCTCTCTCTCTCTCTCTCTCACTCACTCTCACATCCTCCCCAGCCTTCAGACAGCATTCCCAGAGGACACAGAAGAAGCAGTTGTGCTTCCAACCCTCCCCCCTTCCTCGTCCTTCCTCGTCTCTCAGACATCGAAACAATACAATTGGATCTAAATTCTTCCGTACATTCATGAGCTCTCGATGAAAGCAAATAGGTCGAGCTTGTGCCTGCTTGTGTTTCGATGTGATTAATGACCCACACCCTCTTCCCGATCTCTGGGACAGTTCACATACCGTCGCTCCAGTCTCAAAGCTCTCGCAGGTTTCAAAGCAATACTTCTGTCAAAACAACCCCACGTCACTCGCCACAGAGGCAGCATCCTTCCTGATAAATAAGGCTATCATAGCAGGGTCAACTGAGGCTGCAGTCCTGGTCCGGTTTGTTGTTGGATCACTTAGATATGGACTGGGGTGCTGAAAACATTACACAGGTGCTGAAGGTCGACTTACCTCCAACAAACAACAACAACAACAACAAGAATGTGCAGCCTTAATCTTGAAGAGGTTTAGGTGTGAACGTAGAATTATTCTCGGGCAGCTGATGAGTCAGCAAATTCAAGGGTAACGGCATGTCATGTCTTTGCAACAGCAAACGCTGCCTGTGGGATTTAAGCTCAACTAAATGATGAATGGGAAACTAAGCCCATGTGTTTATTAGCTGAAACCCTAATTAGTGCTGCATTAGTGGCTGCACTACAAAGAGTGACAGAAGAGGTGCCTTTGTTTTGTTGGAGCTATTCATCACAGTGACATGTACAATGGCAATGACATGAACATCAGTAAGTACCGCCTCACAGAGATGCTGGCGTGGCTCTAGGCGTTGGTTTCCTGAACTATACATTTGATGTTTATTTAAATCCTATTGGATTTAAATAAACATCTAATGTGTAGTTCAGGAAACCAACAGTTTAATGTTACTGTATTGTTAAGTATTTAACTTAATGAGGCAATTTTGCAATAATATCTTGTGTGTGTGACTATTGGTGCTTTAAGATTACATTTAAATGTTGTCAAACAATTATCGATGTTGCCAAGCAGGTAGAGACGATGAATTTCTCTCAAGTCTAATAATTTAAGAATATTGCCTCGAACAGAAAAAAAGGCAGCAACTACTTTATGATATTGCCATAATCAGATATCACATTACTGTTAATATTAATACATATTATATTGCTATTCTGCTGTTGTTAGAATATGTATCGGGTTTCCTGAAACTGCAGGTGTATCCACAGAACACACACTCTCTAGTGCCATCGCACAGAACTACATCAGGGGAAAGGGCTGATGGACAAATGTCCCTCATGTAGCCACTTACACTTGTTGAAAAGAAAGCGTCCGTAGACTTTTGTCCAGAAAGGGAATTTAAAAAGGTCAAGACCAGTCAGAGGAGAGAGCGAAAACAGTCAGTTCAGACCTTCTAGCAGCTTGGATTCGTCTACATCATCATGACCTGTCCGTACATGCTCCAGGCCTCCTGTGATACTGAACATTCCCAGCCAGAATGTAAATATAAAATGTTAAGTGGACTGCATTCATGTTGTGCTTTTCTAGTCTTAGAGAATACTCATGAAACATTCACACCCACACTCACACAATTTGGGGTTCAGCATCTTGTTCAGGGACACTTCGGCAGGGGCCAGGGATCGAACCACCGCCCTTATGAGTAACTGACGACTGCTCTAACTGCCGAGCAACAGTCACCTCTGCTCATGAGTCTCGTCGACAGCTTCCCTTTTTAAACGAAGCAGAAGAGAAGGGGGAGACTTTCGCTCAGGTGCGTCTGTGCCTGTCGGTGCACGTTTGTGATGTTCCCTGAAGTAAGTACATAGAGGCCTTCTGTGTCTTCTGTGTTAAACAGAAGGGAAGTTAAGGTGTTAGTGCACTACTCTCAATGCTACTCATCTTAAGAAATGTACTGGCAATTACTTCAATTTTATTGATAAAAGAAAATCGGAATCAATTTTCTTTAATGTGAATATTTGCTAGCTTTCTCAGTTTTCTATGACATCAAATGCAATATATTTGGTTTTAGTTCTGGGTTTGGACAAAGCAACGTATTATGAAGGCATCACTAAGGACTAATCACTAACGGGCATTTTTCAGTATTTTTTGACAGCTTATAGACCAAAATGTCGATTGATTAATCAAAAAATAGTTGGCAGAATAAATAAATATAACAACTGTCAGTTACAGTCTTATTAAGTTTTATCAGTTTTACTTAACATGTCACAGTTAAGTTAATATATTCTTAAGGGGAAATAAATACAATACTATCAGGACGCACACAGTAAACTATCATAAACAGACTGATGATGCAGTCATAACCCATTGTTATTGTGTTAATATTTCATCACAGTAATGGAAAGTTATCACAGGGGAAATAAACCTAAACTTTACAGGGGTGTTAAGATTAAAATCTCTCCCATGTTCAGCAGCTGTCAGTGCCCATAGTCTTCTATAGGAACTGTGATTCAGTAATAAGCTGAAAGCCACCAGCACACCCAGACCCTTTGTTAGCCTGCTGACTCACGAGCATGTCTCAGAACCCCTGGACTGACAGACACCCCCCACCCATGGGAGTGTGTGTGTGTGTGTGTGAGAGAGAGAGAGAGAGAGAGAGAGAGAGAGAGAGAGAGAGAGAGAG